CTTTGCATACTGTAGTCATGAATTCCATTTCCAACACCACTTGGTTCCCTTGGTTCCAATGCCAGGAACAACCCTTAAACATGATACCAAAAGTAGCCCACCCACCCACCCCACCATAAGTGCTGCCAGATGTGACTGAAAATCAAACAACATTCTTAAACAAAAATATAATAATAAATGGCTACCAGAAGTTTATTAGTTGTCTAAGTTTAACTTCCAGGAAAATACCTATATTTCATATTCTTATGAAAATTATAAACTCAGAGAGTTACATAACTGCTTAGCCTATGAATTGTGACACTGAAACTCATATATGTCTTACGCCAAAGTTCATTATGTTTCTAATATACGAAACCTGTTTATCATAGATTTATTGGTCCTCTATTTCCCATTGCCCTGTAGCTCCCATTTTTTTAGAAGTTATTTTTTTTGCTTTTGCTTTTGGAGCTAAACCTGGATGGACTCAGGGCTTTCTATACTCCTGACTCTGTGCACAGGGATTGCTACTCGCAATGCTCTGAGGATCCCGTGCCAGGGATCAAAATGGGTCAGCATGTGCAAGTACTTGCTGTACTACCTTTCTGGACCCTAGAAAATCTTTTTAAAAGAGAGTATGGCAGGAGAGTAGGAGTAGGGGCAGGGCTGAAGAGATAATGTAGCAGGTAAGGCACTTTCCTGAAGCACATGACTAACCTGGGTTCAATCCCCAGCATTCTATAGGCCTCTGAGCCTGCCAGGAGTGATTCCTTAGTGCCAAGCATATGTCTGTGTATGTGTGTGTGTATGTATGTGTGTGTATGTATGTGTGTGTATATATATGTGTGTGTATGTATATGTATATATATGTGTATATATATATATACATATATATATATTTGAGAATTAGGGATCAGAGTGATAGTAAAGTGGGTAGGGTGCTTGCCTTGCACATGGCTAACCTGAGTTCAATTCTCAGTAGAGCATATCATCCCCCAAGCCTGCCAGGAGTGATTTCTAAGTGCAGATCCAGGAATAATCCCTGAGCACTACCAGATGTAGTCTCCTCATAAAAGAGTATTAGTACTTAATAATGCATACTTCTTAATTTTTATTTACTTTTCAACCCATCCTAGTCTATTTCCACCTCTGTATTATTCAGGGTCCTGTAGAGAAACAGACTACTATGATTGATTTATGTGGTTGTAGGGCTAACCAGCAGACTGAAAACGCAGGCAGACTTTCTTCTGGGTGAAAACTCCGGGAGAAACAGATTTTCACTAGCATCCATCAAATGATTGGATTAGATCTACTGTCTTGTTATAGGTGATCTCCTTTATAGAAAGTTAATTGATTTTAAATGTTATTCTTACCCACAAAGAACTTCGGGCTGGAGCGATAGCACAGCGGTAAGGCGTTCACCTTACAAGCGGCCAACATGGCCGACTCAAGTTCAATTCCTCCGCCCCTCTCGGAGAGCCTGGCAAGCTACCGAGAGTATCTTGCCCGCAGGGCAGAGCCTAGCAAGCTCCCCATGACGTATTCGATATGCCAAACACAGTAACAACAAGTCTCATGATGGAGATGTTACTGGGCCTGCTCGAGCAAATTGATGAACAACGGGAGGACCGTGTCTACCGTGTCTACAAAGAACTTCACAGCAACATCTAGACTGGTGTTTGAACAAGCAACTGAGCCAGCCACAGGCTAGCCAATATGAAATTAATCATCACAGTCTCTTTACACTATCTACCTTCATTTTTATTGCTAAATCCAAATAGATGGGGCTGCAGTGATAGTATAGCATGTAGGGTGTCTGCCTGACACACGGCTGACCCAGGTTTGATCCCTGGCATCCCATTTGGTCCCCCAAGCACATCCAGGAGTAATTCCTGAATGCAGAACCTGAGCATCGCCTGTTGTGACCCAAGAAGCCTAGTTAATAATTAATGGATCAATCCAAATGGACACTTCACATCTTTGTTTACTTGACCACTTTACAGCATTTGATATCTTACTTGTTTTAGTTTTCTCTTGCTAGAGACCTTAGACATTGGGCATTTCTTTTTTTTTTATTTATTTAGAGAATACTGTATTAGTTTCTGTAATCAAACCCACGTAGATAAGACCTTACATATTTAATACAGTGCGTTTTTACCCCTGTACAAATGGAAAGAGAGAGAGATGTTCCCCGTTTCTAGACCAATATGGCTGTGAATTTCTGTACAATGGCAACCCGAGACGGTAGACTGGGATACTTTTTTCCAAAGTTGACGGCACAGCTCAAGTTTCCAAAAATTCAAATTATATATATATGTATATATTTATATTTATATAAAAAAGACCGATAGCAGGAAGTCACGCATCAATAGCAGAAACAGCGTTTCCAAGTTCTGCAGTCATCTGAACAAATTAAGAGACATCAGCACACTCCATTTTAAAAAAAAAGGGAAAAAAAAGAAAAAAAAACAAAACCCCAGAAAACAGCAAAGTCCCGTCACTGTGGTGGTACCTGGCACCATTTTTTTTTTTTTTTTTTTTTGTCTATCAGCATCTCGACCATCATCTGCAAAGGAAACATTCTAGAATAACGTCATTACAAAGAGCTCTGATACAGCACGGTGACGACACGGGGCGGGGGGGGTGGGGAGGGGACGCGCAGGCCCATGGGACACTTGATGGGGGTGGACGGCACGGCCTGCGGCCAGGGTTCCCAGGCATTACTGGAGATGTGATTCCACGCGCCCGGGGAACGTGCCCCACGCAACAGGGCGGCTCGCCGCGCCTGTCAGCTAAAAATCATTGGTGTTTTTCGACATTGGGCATTTCATGACCCTAATCCTTCCTCATTCTGACTCACTGGCTATTTTCCTTCTTATTTCTAGGACTTATACAACTTCTCTCACTTCTTTAATTATTGATATTTGCTCCTCTTCTTAGTCATACTAATACCTTCATGATTGATGTCTTAAATCTAAAATTCCATTGTAGAATTTTTTATCAATCCTGAGACCTATGTATCCCATTATTCACTTTGGTGCTGCATAAACATCTCAAACTTTGCCTGTCTAAAACTGAAATTTTATTCTTCCCTTTTCAAACTTGATTTTGTATCTCTTCCACCCTCATCTATTCCACCAGTAATAGAAATCAGGAGCCAGAGAGAAATGCAGAACTTCTCCCTTATGCTTACCTTTTAAGACTTCCTCATCTACATTCTTATCTCAACCAAGAGAACTCAACCTCCACATTGTCTCCCTTGTAACATTGTATTTTTCCTGCCTCTTTGCAGTCTCTTTCCAAACCCTCAGCAGTACTGTTGGTCTGTCTAATGGTTTTTAAATTCGTGTAGTGGTTCCTGGTTGTCCATCCAATTAAGAATTCATAGCAGATATACAAGTCCTTCTTGCTCGACCTCTCCCACTTTTGATCTTCCACCGCGCCTCGTTGCCCAACTGGATTTTTAGGCCATAACAAAATATAGAGTCATACTTGCTATATTGTTGGGTTTTATGTCCTCTACTTTCTTTCTGCTGCCATGCCCGCTACCTTCATTAGTTTGCCTCCCTGTCCACCTCGATGCCTCTAGGAAAATTATTTTGTACCCTGTTAGATCTTCTCTTTTGAATAACAAAGTTCACAAAATGTATTTGACCATGCCTTCTTTCTAACATTAGTAGACATTTCACTTCTACTATGGCACTTGCTGTGTATTATTTTTTACCTGTCACCTTTCAATGCATTATGAACTCCTAGGTCTCAACTATGTGCCAGTGGTGGAGATGATGGTGCAGAGTGGATTGTACACAATTTGTCTAAATAAGGCTGTGCATTTCATGTAGGGGAGTGCTGGGCTTTTGGACACCAGAGAGAACAGTAGACATTTCTTTATCCTCCTCTCTCCCTTTTAAAGACTGCTGCTATAATTTTTAGTACCAATTTCTTTTGATCTTTTTAATGATGACATATTCTGATACCTGTTCTCAGCCTTCACTATGCTTTTGTTTTGTTTTGCTTTGCTTGATCTTTGGATAATTCTTTTTTTGTAAAGGAAGCTGTTATTGTTACAAACTCCCCCTGACTCGTTTTCAGTCCATCACAAGATAAAATCAAACATTAGCTTATTCTCACATGATTCTGTTTTCCAAAAGAAACCTTCTGTAGGAATACATGTTGCAATTATTATTTTTCAACAATTTTTAATCCTCCTTGTCCCCAAAATGTCTCTCTGCATTTAATGTCAAATTAAGGATTAAACCAATTTTGTGTTAATTCTGGAAAAATAATGATTAACGTTTTTGTAATAGAAGAATGAAGGAATGAAATGACAGTTCAATGGGTAGAGTGCTTGCCTTTCGGGTGGCTGACCCAGGTTCAATCACGGTCATTTACATTATGGTCCCCTAATCCTTGTTGGGAGTGATTCCTGAGCACAGAGCCAGGAGTAATCCTTGAGCACCACCAAAATATTGCCCCAAAATCCAAAAGATAAAATTATGAAGACTTCTTGGGTCTTTAATGTGAAAATTCCAGATGGCCAGCTTCCTACTATCTGCTGCTCATTGGGTCAAAGGATAGTGGAATGGTTAGCATCTTAATTCAGACATGTTACTCTCTACCCTAAATACACTCATAGAAGCTACTTGTGGTGTAACTCCTTATGTACTAAATATTTATCTGACTCTTGGTTTTTCAGTTGATCTTCTAAGTGGGTGAAGAATCTAGTTATGAATTCTTTGCCCTGTATGGAATGTGATATCTTGGTTTTGAATCCATCTGCCCCTCTCCTCAATTTATTGTTTTGCATTGTGTTTCTCAATGGCTTTGGCTTGTTTTTTCCTGAATGTACCTGCAGTTTGGTTTGAGTATCTCGCTTTGGGTGTCCCTACTGAACTTGAACAACCATCTGTACTTGTGTTTAGGGAAGCAGAAATCAATATTTCCTATGGAAAATGACCTGTTTTTAATATTATGTGTGTGTATCTCTTTCCCCCACCCTCTTTTTTTAAAATTTCTCTTCAAAGACTGGAAAGAAAGCAGTAAAGGCAGTTCTTTGGGTATCTGCAGATGGACTCAGAGTTGTGGATGAAAAAACTAAGGTAAAATTTTTGTAAATTTAAATGTTACTGTTCTTATACTTTAAAAAAAATTCCTTATAAATCAGATATAATCCAATTAAGCTCTTACAGTCACTCTATCTCCACTTGTCCAAATTAAAGTATTCTAAAAGATTAATGCTCAGGAAACCAATTTAGTTACTCATTTACCTATAAAAAAAATAGAATTTTCTCAACATTTTGCTCTACATGACACTGCATGTTTAGCGTATTAAGCGTTTGCATTTAGTGCTAAGATCTGACTTCTATTTTTGTTCTTACATGTTTAAATGGTTTAGCCCCACATATTTGATATAAAAGATGATGGATCTTTTGCCAGTTAAAAATTAGAAACATAGATTATGAACAATATACAATATATGACATTTCTTCAGGTTCTGTAATATATTGTATTTTATTTTTTTAAAAAAATGGTATTTGGGGCCATACTCAGCAGTATGGGTCTTGGAGCTCTGGATTTGACAGTCATTCCTGCCAACACTTCAAATCCAAGTCTCCCGTATAAGATGAATGCACTCAGAACATTGAGCTTTCTCTCCAATCTCAAAATACTCTATTTTTAAGAGTTGAACTTATAAACCTGCAATTTAGGACAAAGTGCATGCCATAGTTTGCATGCAGTTCCATCCCTGATCCTACACAGACACACACACACACGTGCGCGCGCACACACACACAATTAGATCCAGAGAGCAAGTACAGGAGGTAAAAGCACTTACATTACAGTGCTGCAGTGCCCACAGCCTTGGTCTAAATTCTCAGCACTGCCTATAATGCCCTCAAGCTCCACAAGGGATTCCTTCTAAGCACAGCCTGTTATAGCCCCTATATACTTGGGTATGTATCCCCAAACACAATCCTCACCATATCAAAAAATTGGTACCTGCTGTTTAGTGGAAAATTCTATTTAAGTGAACTTTCTCTTTTTTCTTTTTCTTTTCTTTTTGGTTTTGGCACCACATCACACCTTGCAGTGCCCAGTGCTTAGTCCTGGTTATGCGCTCAGGGATCACCCCTGGTTGGGAGAAGGAGATGATGTGGTGCAGATTTGCTGTATCCAAGACAGATGCCCTATCACTCCGGCCCATATTCAAAATCTTAAGTACTGGTAATTAATTCACTTACGGATATTTATATAGATATCCACACAATATATAAAGTCATAGGGGCAGTGTGCATTTACGAAAAAAGTGACCGTACAGAGATAGTACAAAAGCCTCCGAGAGAGAGAGAGAGAGAGAGAGAGACAGACAGAAAGAGGGAGAGAGAGAAAGAGAGAGGGAGAGGAGAGAGGTATTTAATCATTCAAGTTTCCCAAGAGACCTAAACTATGAATCAGTTTTAATAAGGTAATTTTTCATAGTTAATTGTAAAGGAGAAAAAAGTCTGGCAGGTATTAAAGAGCAATTATGATGGATAACTTGCCTGATAAGAGTTTTTGGTTTAGGGATTTTTGGAGCTACATCGGCAGTGCTCAAGGTTCCATACTCAAAGGTTATTCTAGCAGGCTCACAGTAACCATATGCAGTGCTGGGGAACTATCTGGGGTCCCCTGTATGCAAGGCAAAATGCTTTAATTAACCCCTGTATTATCTCTCTTCCATATAAATAAAACTTTTTTTAAGTTTAAGGGAAGTAGTAATCTTAAATGTATATTTCTATTTGAAACAATCTTTTTAATTGCCTTCTTTTTCTTTTCTTTTTTTTTTTTTTCTTTTTGGGTCATACCCAGCGATGCACAGGGGTTGCTCCTGGCTCTTCACTCAGGAATTACCCCTGGCGGTGCTCAGGGAGCCATATGGGAATCGAACCCGGGTGAGCCACATGCAAGACAAACACCCTGCCTGCTGTGCTATTGCTCCGGCCCCCTAATTACCTATTTTTTTTTAATTGTATCATTTTTGTTAGTGTTTTGGATAAAATTCATTGTGAATGGAGGGTTTTGTTTTATAATATGGTTGGAAAGTGATGTTGCCCTCTGGTGGCTCCATCTAGCACTGACATTATTTCGTTTAGTTCTGTGTTAAACAATAGTCGTTGGTGCCTTGTCTCCCTTGGAACAGTCATGAGTGGAGAAAAAAATATTGCCAAAAATTGTCATGTAACCTATATTAAAAAAATACAGAGTTTTTGTTTTTAAATAAAAAAGGGAGAGTCACTTTACTAAAGAATAAATTAATAGTAATCACCTGTAATAATATCATGATGAGCCACCAAGAACTGCAAAATTCATTTTTGACACAAAATATTTTAAATATGTAAGTTTGTGGACCAATAGAAATTTCTATAAGGATTCTATATAAATATATTTTGCCTGATTTTGTATTGTGGCACTTAATAACCCTTCCATAACCTCTGGGAGTTCTAGGCCACTGAAGTATCTTAAAAAAGAGCCTCAGAACTTCTAAGTTTTCAAGAACACTTGGTATTTTGTGTGCCTTTCAGTAAATGTTGGATCAAGAAAGTCATACTTAAGATTAAAAAATGATCAGAGACCAGAGCAGTAGTACAGCAGGTAGGGCCTTGCAAATGGCTGATTTGGATTCAATCCCCAGCACCCCATGTAGTCCCCTGAGCTTTGTCTGGAGAGATTCCTGAGCGCAGAATCAGAAGTAAGACTTGGGCACTGCCGAGTGAGGCCCCAAAACAAAAAAATTAAATGATCATTAAGTTAATATATAGAATGTTCTGGGAAGGGTGTTACTAAATATCCAATGGAGACGTTACTGGGCCCGCTCGAGCAAATCGACGATCAACGGGAGGGCCTAAATATACATAATGGAGTAAATATATTGACAAGTTGAAAATGAACTCTACCACAATAACCTAGAATCAGGAAGAAAGTTTTATTTTTTTTTAATTTTTAATTTTTTTATTTTTTATTTTTTTATTTTTTTTGTAGGAGTACTGCTATTTATTCAGCCACTGATTAGCTGATTGAATTGGGCATCAACTCCACCTTAATTTTTTTAATTTTATTTTTTTTCTTTTTATATTTATTTATTGAATCACTGTGGGAAAAGTTACTAGGCTTTCAGGTTTAAGTCTCGGTCATACAATGATCAAACACCTTTCCCTTCAAGGAAGAAAGTTTTAGAACTTGCACTTGAGATGAGGGAGGCAACAGAGCAGAGTGCCCCTGGGGCTCTCTCCCCTAGTTCGCACGTGCCATAATCAAGCTGATAGACCAGAATCCGGCTTTGCCTTTGTGTTATGTTGTGAATATCATGTGTCTTTGAGAAGCTTGAATGACCTAATTCCTCTGTTCCTTTGTGCTTTCCCTTTTCCAGGACCTCATCGTTGACCAGACAATAGAAAAGGTTTCCTTCTGTGCTCCAGATAGGAACTTTGATAGAGCTTTCTCTTACATATGCCGGGATGGCACCACTCGACGCTGGATCTGCCATTGCTTCATGGCTGTCAAGGACACGGTAAGTCCCTACCGTGGATTTCACCAGGTCTAATTTGGTTAGCTATGCCTCTTCCTTGTCGACTCAGTTTCTGCTGCATATTGTTGCTTTGATTGTGGTTCCAGAGATGATGTACTTCCAGGCATGAGCTCCACCGCTGAGGTTCATTCCTGACCTTCCTATGCTTTTCTCAAGCTTATACTGTTACAGCATTTGGAAGTTCTTAAAGTAGCTTGCTTTGGTTCTTTCACTCTTTCAGTTCAAGTCATCCACACTCTTATTGTGGCCCTGCAGCTCCCAGAGGGGGCTGACTGGCAAATAAGATCCAGTGAAATAATTTGTTCAGAACCGTATGGAGGAACAGCTGCCTGCATTGTATGATTTTTATTTTGAAAGTGCCACAGAAGAGTCCCTGTTCTCAAATGTCTCTTCTTGTTAATGATTCTATATCACCTGATGTTTTTATTCTATAGTAGGAAAATGGATTAGAACAGCATTTCCTGGGCAAGAAAGATAGTATAGTTTTTAAGACATATGCCTAGCATGCACCTGATCATGGTTCACTTTTGATACCTGGCACCATCTGGTTCCCAGACATCTCAAGGTTCAGTCTTGGAGGTCCCCAAACACTGTTGAAGTGCCTTTGGTAATCCCCAGCACTGCAGGACCTATGAATATCATATCCTTGGGCCCTCACATTGAACTCCCAGTTGGCAGAGAATTGCCTAGAATGACCCCCCACACAATCCCCCCCTCCCGGCACTAAGTAAAAAATAATAAAATGATCAAAATATATAAAATCAATATTTCCCGAAGTAGGCACCACCACCACTCACTGCCAAGGATGCTGGGAAGATGTGGGGATGGAGGGGTAATAGTAATCTTTTTTTTTTTTTTAAGCCACATCCAGCAATGCTCAGGGGTTAGTCCTGGCTCTTTCTCAGGAATCACTCCTGGCGGTGCTCAGGGACCATCTGGGTTGCTGGGGATCAAACCTGGCTCTGCCGTATGCAAGGCAAACACTACCCATTGTACTATCTCTCCAGCCCCAGTGGTGCTAGTATCTTTCAGGTACAGTTTAGAGACAGTGAACAAATGTTTTTTGTTTTTGTTTTTGTTTTTTCCTGGAAAGAGTACACTTTAGCCCGTGCTTGTCACAGTGACAAAGCATAAGCATTATGTAAGGTAACTCATTTACATTAATTTGTCATCTGCACTGCACTGTAGCGCTGCACTGTCCTCCCATTGTTCATCGGTGTTTGGCATATCGAGTATATCACTGGGAGCTTGCCAGGCTTTGCTGTGCGGGCAGATCATCAGTATATTAAAATCTAATTTTAACCTAGAATTCCTAACATTGTACCTTGTGTAAAAATGAACTTGTGATCCATGTTAATTTGCAGTGATTATGCCATAACCCTAAAAAGGTGTTTTAAACTCCTGTTCTATACAGGGTGAAAGATTGAGCCATGCAGTGGGCTGTGCCTTTGCAGCCTGTCTAGAACGTAAGCAGAAGCGCGAGAAGGAATGTGGAGTGACTGCTACTTTTGATGCCAGTCGAACAACTTTTACCAGAGAAGGATCCTTCCGTGTCACAACAGCCACCGAGCAAGCAGAAAGAGAAGAGATTATGAAACAACTCCAGGATGCCAAGAAAGGTAAATCCTGTTCTACCACAACCTTGTGTTGATTTTATGTTGGTTTTCCTGACAGGTTAATATTCCAGAGTTATCAAGGGCAAGTTTTCCCACAGAGAGAATTATCAGCAACAAAGAGAACTATCAGCATCCTTCTTTTTTTTTTTCTTACTTTTTTCGACTTTATTATTCTTTTCATAACATCAGACTGAGTGCAGTTGATGAAACTATGAAAATGCACAAATTCATTGTTGAAAATGCACAAATTCAGTGTTTTAAAACAAAATTGAGAAGTTCTATATGCAATAACATCTTTAGTTCTGATGCATCTGGTATCTGTGAGAAGTAAATGCCTTCGTCTTGAAGGAAGAAGTACAGTCCCAGGGTTGGCCTGCAGAGGTTTGCTGACTGATGCTTAGTGCAGGTATAGACAGATATTTCAGTGAGATGCTGTGCTTACTAGACATCACAGGGGTTTTTGTGTGGTATTTGTTTTTGATGCTTTAATTTCAAAAATGTCTAGATTTTGAAATGCTATCACCTGGTTTGTGATTTTGCAGAATGTGAGTTTTTCCAGGTACATAAGGTAGCATAGCAAAAATGCCTGTATAAACACTCAAATTACTCAGGAGTCTGTTTTTTGGAACTGGATGGACATATTTTAGAACTAAGTTATAGCGTTTGAGGAAATTTTTTTGTATTCTTATATATGCTAGAGTTAAAATCAATAGGGAATATTTTAGAATTAAGCAGTTGAGTCAAAATAAAAATTAATATAACTGCTAAATTTCTACTATATCTTTTTAATTCCAAGACAGCCATTTTTTTCTCTAGAGATTTTATTTTATTTATTTTACTTTCAATTTCTTTTTTTAACCTTTACTGAATCACTGCTCGAGTCACTGAATCACTGTGAGATAGACCATTATAAAGCTGTTCATGATTGGATTTCAGTCATACAGTATTCCAACACCCATCCCTCCACCTGTGTGCATTTCCCATCACCAGTATCTCCAGATTCCCTCCCATAGCCCCCCCACCCCCTCCTACCTCTGGCAGGCACTTTTGCGCACGCTCTCTCTCTCTCTCTCTATCTCTCTCCCCCCCTCCTCTCCCTCTCCCTCTCTCCCTCTCTCCCTCTCTCCCTCTCTCCTCCCCCCACCTTTTGGGCATTGTGGTTCTCAATATTGATACTGAAAGGTTATCAAGAATATTCCTTACTTCCTTTTTTTTTTCTTTTTGGGTCACACCCAGCGATGCACAGGGGTTACTCCTGGCTCATGCACTCAGGAATTACTCCTGCCGGTGCTCGAGGGACCATATGGGATGCTGGGAATCGAACTCGGTTTGGCAGTGTGCAGGGCAAACTCCCTACCCGCTGTGCTATCGCTCCAGCACCCCCCTTACCTACTTTTAATCCTCAGATGTTGTCCAGTGTGATCATTCCCAGCTATTTTTGTCATAGTGGTCTCTTCTCCATCTACCCTCAGCCCCACACAGACTTATGATTAGTTTCAACCATTTCCTTCAAACCCCCATTTTCCCAGGCCATTGCTCTTCTAATATATATATATTATACCACAAATGGGCTGGAGCGATAGCGCAGCGGGTAGGGCGTTTGTCTTGCACACAGCCAACATGGCCGACCCGAGTTGGATTTCCTCCGCCCCTCTCGGAGAGCCCGGCAAGCTACCGAGACTGTCTTGCCTGCCTGGCAAAGCCTGGCAAGCTACCTACCATATTGATGTATTCAATACACCAAACACAGTAACAAGTCTCATTGTTACTGGGTCCACTTGAGCAAATCGATGAACAACGGGAGGACAGTGACAGTGATACCACAAAAAAATGCAGTCATTCTATATCTGCCCCTTTCCTTTTGACTTATTTCACTCAGCATGATACTCTTCATGTCCGTCCATTTATAGGCAAATTTCATGACTTCATTTTTCCTGACAGCTGCATTGTATTGTCTCTTTATCACTTCATCGGTTCTTGGGCACTTGGGTTGTTTCCAGATTCTGGACAGCCATTTTTAGATAACACATTAATCTACTGACTAATACAACTCTAATTTCTTTTTTTTTTCTTTTTCTTTTTCTTTTTTTTTTTTTTTTTTTTTTGGTGGGGGGGGCACACCTGGCTTGGCTCTGTGCTCAAGGATCCCTTCTGGTAGGGCTCAGGAGACCGTAAGGGTTGCTGAGGATTGAATCTTGTTCAACCACATGCAAGGCAAGCACCCTACTCACTATATTATCTGTCTGGCCCCCAAAATGGAATGTTTTTATTCTTTGATATTCTAATATAAATGTTCATAGATAAAAAGAATCTGATCCCTGACACTGCATATGGTCCTTTGAGCACTGTCAGGAGAGACCTCTGAACACTGCTGAGTGTGGCTCAAAAACCCTTAGAGTAAAAGGATGAGAGGAATCATCATCAATAATTTAATTTTGGGTAATCATTTTTGTGCTTAAGAATTAGAGGTGGAAGCTAGAGAGATAGTGGTGAGTAGAGAGATTGCCTTGTTTGTACACAGAAGACTCAGGCTCAATCTCTGGCACCTCATATGATCCCTGAGCCCATCAGGAATGATCCCTGAGCACAAAGCCAGGAGTAAGGTCTGAGCAAGCAAGGTATACCCCCAAAACCAAAAAATTCATTTTAATTTTAAAAATATTTATAGTATGTGTTTTATAGATATATGTGTGTATATAACATTTACACATACATAAAATATACTTCAGAGAGTTCCAAATTGAAAACGTGTGCGTGTGTGTGTTTGGACCACACCCAGTGGTGTTCACTTCATCAGTGCTTGGGGGACAATGTAGTGTCAGGGTCAAAACCAAGCTTCCCACATGCAAAGCATGTACTCAGCCTGTTGAGCTATCTCCCCGCCTGGAAGCATATTCTTTAAAGGCATCAAATAATTTTTTTTACTACGTACAGCAACTGCCAGAGTGGTCAAAGCCTAACAACTACAGAGGATGGTGAAGGTTGTGGGGGTTGAGATTTTAGCACATTCACAGTTGGGTTCAGCTGGTACTTACGTGCAAACAGTTTCATGTTTCTGTTTAATTCCATTTAAAACTTTACTTCTTGGGACAGGGGAGAAGTTATAGGCGTTAAGGTGCTTGCGCCCAGTACCACATGGCCTCCTGTGCACTGCCAGGAACTGCCCCAAAGCACAGAGCCAGAAATAACAGCCTAGCATAGAGCTGGGTATAGTCCCTCCCCCAATACTTTTGTTTAACTTTTGTATGCTTTTTCTGGACCAGGGGAGTGAGGTTTGGCGGATGGCAAGATACCCTGGCAGTACTCATCCAAACACATCATTTGGTTCCATGCCATGGCCCAGTGATGTGGCTCTGCTGAGTGTCCCACATCCAAGAGTGCTTGGGGGTGAGGCGGGGTGCACATAGCACCAGGTTTCAAACTCAAGACCTTGTGTGTGCAAGGCATACATCCCTGGCTCTTGCTTCTGTATGTTTTTATTCCAATGAGCCTCAAATGCATATTGTCCATGATTTAAAGTCTTTGATTTATTCTTTATCTAATGAAACTTACCCTTGTTTAAATCTTTTCTGATGCTGTCACTTTTTTTAAGATTTATTTATTGAATCACTGTACAATAGACCCCTACAAAGCTGCTTATGATTAGGTTTCAGTCATACAGTGTTCCAACACCCAACCCTCCACCAGTGTCTGTGTCCCAGCACCAGTGTCCCCAATTTCCCACCCCCCCAGCCTGCTTCTTTGGCAGGCAGTTTTCCTCTCTCTCTCTCCCTTCCCCTCTCCCCCTTTCCCTCTCCCCCTCCCCCTCTCCCCCCTCCCTCTCTCCCTCCTTTATGTATTGTAGTTTGCTATACAGATACTGAGAGGTTATCTGGAATATCCCTTTACTTACTTTTAACACTCAATAATGCTACCGCTTTAAATAAATCAACAAACATTGAAAACCATGAACCATCATTTTTTTTAATGTAGACCAAAGCCACAAATGTTGATAGTTTTAGAGTTGAAATTGATTAGATAACAAAGCTTCAATGTTAAAATTGTTAAATATTTTTTAAAAATCAGTTTTTATGTGAAAATTGTTATATCATCACGGGGTTGTTCAGTCTTTCTCTAAGAATTTATTTACTTAAGCTGCGTGTTGCTAGTTGAGCCTTCTGGGTTACTGTTTTTGTTTGTTGAGGTTAGTTGGCTTCTGTGTTGCTTTCCCATCTAATTTGGTGTGCTCCTACTGGAACTTCAGTATGGAAGAACTAGGAGGTGTCACAGCTATGCTGTCCAGAGACTTCAGGATCTTGGTCTCGACCAATGAGTTGACATGGCAGCAGCTGTGAGAGGTGGGCCTGGCTGCTGGGGCTTCCAGAAGTCGGGGGCCTGAGGGGAAGCTACCCACCCCCCACTCCGAGAAGATACCAGAATTGTCAGCCTGGCACTAGGTACCTGAAATTATGTGCAATTTGGTATCTCTGCAGACAATAGAAGTAAAGCAATGGCAATGGCGTTGAGCCCTTGGCATGGCTGCAGAGTTGGGGTATGGGTAGAGTGTGGTTGTGGCTGCTGGGGCTTCAGTAGGACAGGTGCTCAGCCCACCCTCCTCCCTAGGGTGCCCCAGTTTTCAGCCCTGAGGACTGAATTTTAGCTGTTCAGCTTGTGTCTCCTTGGAGATTTAGTCATGGTTCGGTAGAGGGCCTGTGGGTGAGTCAGCATGGCAGTGGCTGAAAATACCATTTTTTTTAAACACCTCACATTCAGAGTTTGTAAGAAAACTTTTAAAATCTAATCCAAAGACTTAAGTTTTGAATCACTGCATGAAAATCTTAGATCTATGATTTTTAGACATACCATGTGAATAAGTAATAGGTATACACAGAATTAGTTAATAAATGTTTTACTTGCCTGAAAAATAGGAAATCTGAGACCTACTACTAATGTATCTTTTAAGAGTCATTGGAAAGGAGATGCTAAATGGACCTAGAGGATTTTTGAGTTCCTCAGCTGTGTGAGCTCAGATTATTTGAAGACATTGCTAAGGTCGTCTTTCTCTTGACTTTCTTGAGCTGAAGCAGATAAGACAGTTGTTGGTTCATCTATGACCCCAGGCAACACAGCTCCATCCCCGTCTTCTCCCACCTCTCCCACTTTGGATGCCACTGCCTCTCTGGAGATGAACAACCCTCATGCCATTCCTCGTCGGCATGCACCCATTGAACAGCTTGCTCGCCAAGGCTCTTTCCGAGGATTTCCTGCTCTTAGCCAGAAGATGTCACCCTTTAAACGCCAACTCTCCCTGCGCATCAATGAGTTGCCTTCCACTATGCAGAGGAAAACTGATTTCCCTATTAAAAATGCAGGTAATGCAGCATTTGACTGATTTACTTAAGTGCACTAGCACTGAAGGGTTATTATCACTTTCAGTGGAGACACTAATCCCATCACACTAGCTTCCTCTCTCTAAAGCTGATTGACAATTGTACCTTGCATCCATTTCCCACTGGGAAAAAACTAAGGTACGTGGGGGCGGGGGGTGGAGGGGTAATGACTCATTAATTTCTTTTCAGTAAATAGAATAAGAGCCATGATAGTAACTCCTAGCCTGAGCTACAGGATTTTGGTTTGTTTTCATTGAAGTGTACTGCCTCTTTGCAGCCTGCTTCCTAACATCAAGAGTCTTAAGTTTCCATTCTTACTCTGCCATTTAGAACTCAGCTGGAAATTAATTTAAAAGGTTTTGGAAATATCGTCAATTAAATAGCATACTGTCAGATGCACCCCACAAAATGGATAAGTGCTCATTGTCCTTGTTGCCGGTTAGTTCCATGGGGAGGAAACTCTAAACCCACGTCCTGTATTTATCTAAGATCTGTTCATGAGAGACAGTGGGCTTGCTAACACATATTCATTACCTTTCAGAATTGCCACACAGGCCTTTGTGTGGCCTCTGTATAACTGAGCCAACCCTGGTAGTTCTATCCGTATCCTAAGATCTGGAGCTACAGTGTCAGATCTGCTCTGCTTTTATAGGCCCTACTTTTCTTCTCTCTGAGACATGAGGAGCCAGTACTCTAACTGGTCTGAGGAAACTCTTTTTCAATAGGGCACTCTCACTGATTGTGGCAGAAGAACACAGAATTCCTTTGATGGCTGAAATAGAGCTGAAGAACATATGAACTAGATGTATACTGAGGCTCTTTTTTCCAGCTCTCAACCTAAACTGAAACTCCTGATGCTCAGATATCTCTATTTTTCCGTCTCCTGTAGAACAGATGGGGAGCAAAAACTATTCATCTCTTTACAATTGAGCAAACAAAGATTTGGCATACACATGAGCTTCCTCAGTGACAGGGATTTATATCCCAGCATCAGTGTGAAACACAGGGCCTGAATTGCACACTTCATTTGGGGTTCTGGGTTTTTTTGCGGACTTTAGGGGGTCACACTCAGTGGTGCGCCAGGGACCATGTGGTACCAGGATCCTTGGGCCAGAACAATAGTATAACAGGTAAAGTACTTGCCTTGCATTTGGCCAACCCGGGTTTGACACCATAAATGGACCGCTAAACACTGTCAGGAATGATCCCTGTGTGCACACAAGATGTGGCCCAAAACAAATAAAATTTAAATAGACTTCTTGAGCTGTAGAGATAGCTCAATAGCTGAAGCACATGTTTTGGGAGGCCCAGGTTAGATCCCCTGATACCTCATGGTCCCCTAAGCACTGAGTCAGAAATAGTTCCTAAAATATTCTGGGTATGCCCCTGACAAAAAGACTGAGCCTTTTGAGCCATATCTCTGCCCCTCAGTTCACTCAGTTCACATACAGAAATATGTATATATTTCATATTTTGGTATCTTAGAGAATTTTTCTTTAATACTTTGTTTTTAATTTAATGCCATCAAATGGATTGAGCAGGCAATGTGCCTCTTTTTTGTTGTTTGTTTTTGGGAGCCCGGGGGGACACAACCAGCAGTGGTCAGGGCTTACTCCTGGCTCTGAGCTCAGGGATCATTCCTGGTGGGTTCTTGGGTGCTGGGGGTCAAACATGGATTGGCCTTTATGCAAGGCAAGTGCCCTATCCACTGTACTATCACGTTAACCATGTCTCTGACTTTAATTCATTTTTTGTTACTTAATGGCTCCAGAATTTAACTCAAACCATAGCCCTGGGACCTGGTCAGAAAACAGATTGCAGATTACCTTCCAGAAAGATTGGGGTAAATGAATTATCTTGGCACCAAAAAAGAATATCAAGTTCTCAACAGTATCACCTAAGAGAGGAAATAAAGTAATGTCAAGATATATATACAAGGGAGGCAGATAGTCCCCAGAACAAGAATTGTTTATGTCATGCCCTCCCATCTGAAAGCCAGTGAAATCATGATCTTTGTTTTGAAGCTGTTTTTGTAGTCCTACCCGAGAGTGAATTGAAACTTCGTCAGTTTTAGGGATGCAGTATAAATTGCATAGTGCCGTGCTCTTATACTTCATGTTTACTCAGTTTATCGTGAGCCATTTCCTGTTTTTCTTGCAGTGCCAGAAGTGGAAGGGGAAGCAGAGAGTATCAGCTCCCTATGCTCGCAGATCACCAATGCCTTCAGCACACCCTCCGAGGACCCCTTCTCATCAGCCCCAATGACCAAACCAGTGACAGCGGTGGCCCCCCAGTCTCCTGCTTTCCAAGGTTGGTGCCCTCTTAGATCAGTTAATTTCTCAGTATGAGAATGTCTCATAGGCGTTCATCTACCTATAGGACAGAGTCTTTGTGCATTTTTGTTTCCCGAGTCTATCATTTTACATGTACCCACTCATCTTCCCTCCTATTCTTTTAGTATCTTCTTCAGTCCCACTTTATTTACCACTTGTCTGTCAAGGATTAGAGTTTCCATCCAGGTCCCTACAAGCCAGTCATCAGAGTTAGTTTCAGCATTGTTTCCTCAGCACTGTGTTTCTTCACCTGGGGTGATTTGCCCTCTCTGGAAAAATGGGCCATTTAGTGTCTGGAGACATTTTTACAACATAAGGTGTATCCGGTAACTGCTGTTGATACATTGACATCTGGGTAGAGATAGGGATGTTATTAAATGTTCTTCAAAGCATATCCTCCCAGCAGAGAACTACCTGGCTTATAGTAGCACGGTGCTAAGGTTAAGAAGGTCTGGCAAAGAGTATTATAAAGAGAAAGGCACTTCTTTGGACTCTAGCTCATTTCATCTTCTGTAGCAACTATCTTAAAATTTTGCCTTAGTGAAAGGGAAGAAAAATAACTGCCTCTGTAATATTGAAGAATAGTTAAAAGTTTGGCTGGGCTATTGAAGAATACCTACAAGTTGGGCTGGAGCGATAGCACAGTGGTTAGGCTGTTTTCCTTGCACACGGCCGACCCGGCTCCGATTCCTTCGTCCCTCTCGGAGAGCCCAGCAAGCTACCGAAAGTATCCCGCCTGTATGGCAGAGCCTGGCAGCTCCCCGTGGTGTATTCGATATGCCAAAAACAGTTACAAGAAGTCTCACAATGGAGATGTTACCAGTGCCCGCTCGAGCAAATCAGTGAACAACGGGAGGACAGTGCTACAGCTAAAAGTTGCTGTTTTCAGAGTTATGAGGATAACAGGTAATACTAAGTCAGAGATCAGCAGATTGTCTATATAACTTTTAAATCACTGACTTATAGAATGTGAACTCCTGTAATCATTGTTTCTCCATTTGTGGGAGAGCTCAGGAAAAAGTCTTGTTATAGAAACAATACCTGGCTCTTTGAAGGAAGCAGAAGGAAGTTCTTTCTCCAGGAAGTCTCATTTTGAAAATTAAGAAGCTTTTAGAGTCATATGTACCAATGACCACATGTCATCTAACAAATATATGCAAATACTAATACTAAATAAACCAGATTTATTAAGCATTTGACAGAGCATCTGCCACATCACAGTAAGGAGGCATGCATTTTCTCATCTCGTTTAATCCCCACAAAAACCTTGTTATGGTTGGCATCATTGATAAGCTGAGTAACGGTCAAAAAAGGTAGGTAAATTACATAAAATTACATGACCACAATTTAAAGTCAGGTGTTTTTTTAACTAGTACTTATTATTTTCTATGCCTATTTACTAGGCAGTGAGTATGCAAAACTGACTAGAATACTATCCTTTCCCTCTCTTTAGGGGGCTCCTAGTTTATGGCAAGCTAATTGCCTTGTTCACAGCCAACATGGCTGACCCGAGTTCGATTCCTCCGCCCCTCTCGGAGAGCCCGACAAGCTACCGAGAGTATCTCGCCCGCACGGCAGAGCCTGGCAAGCCACCCGTGATGTATTCGATATGCCAAACACAGTAACAACGAAGTCTCCAATGGAGACGTTACTGGGCCCGCTCGAGCAAATCAATGAACAACGGGAGGACGGACGGTGACCAATCTTTCAGATAAGCCTTGGGTAAATAGTTCCAGCACCAAAAACGTGGCTGCCCAGCCCTAACGAGGGAATGACTATTGTGCAAGGAGGGAAGGGTGCTGGTCTGTTCTGTGTAACTAAGGTAGAGAGCTGGACTGTGAAATAGAACCTAGGAATGGATGGCTAGACCCCCAAAGAGCAAGGCTTATATTTTAATAAAGATAGATGAGGAAATAACAGGTAGATACTTTGAGGTCTTATGAGCATTACCAAGGAGTGGAAGGTAAAGGTAAAGGCAAGGTAAAGGCCCTCCCGTTGATCATCGATTTGCTCGAGCGGGCCCAGTAACGTCTCCATTGGAGACTTTGTTGTTACTGTGTTTGGCATATTCGAATACTCTCGGTAGCTTGCCGGGCTCTCCGAGAGGGGCGGAGGAATCGAACTCGGGTCGGCCATGTTGGCTGCGTGCAAGGCAAACGCCCTACCGCTATGCTATCGCTCCAGGAATGGAAACCATGAAAAAAAGAAGAGGTGAGCCCCAGAAAAAACTCCCAGTGCTAGAGCATGCTTTGCATATAGAACCCCTGAGATTGATACCTGGCACCACCTGGTTCCCTGAGCGAAGGGAAGGAGGGAAGGGAAAGGAAGAAGAAGGGGAAGGAGAGGAAAGATTGATTTGTAGCACATTGCAGATTTTTTTTTTAAGCAAATGAAAATTCACATCAAATTTGATTGCTCATCTATAATACTGAAATACAGGGATAATGTCAGCCTGATAGGACTTTAGTGAGAATTAAATGAGATGATGCATGCTAAAACACTATTAATAAGATGCTTGGTGCATGACAAGGAATCAGATTAACTCTAACGGAGTTGTTTATTGTTGGTGTAATTTGTCGTTGGCATAATTTGGTCTTTTGGAAATGAGGAAAATGCTTTATGTCATTATGCGAAAGGCTAAGTTATATCAAAACAGTTAGATTTTTGCTGCCAGTAAGGCAAAGCAGTTCTGTTCAACCTAATTTGAAGTTGTTTTCGCAACTCCATTTCCTCTCTACCCACATGCATATCTCCTCTCACAGCCATTCAACATTGTCAGCACGGCCATTTAGCCCCCATCTCTTTCTCCCTCTTTGCTCACAGGTTTGCGTATCTCCTGCAAGATGGCATGATTACCCAACCCCCAACCTCTCTGTCTTAGCTGTTTCACAGTATTGCACATCAGCCTGTTGACCCAGCATCCGGGGGTCCCCTGTTCATCCTGCATGAATTAACTCCATTGATGTTGTCTGCTCCCATTGTAGCTAATGGCACTGATTCAGCCTTCCATGTGCTTGCTGCTAAGCCAGTTCATACTGCTCTAGCTCCCGTAGCAATGCCTGTGCGTGACACCAACCCTTGGGCCCATCCCCCCGATCCTGCTAACAAGGAAATTTCAGCCACACATTCGGGTAAGGTGGCCACAGATGATGGTGAGGATTCTGGGATCAGAAAAGTGACTCTGGTTTGAAAAGTCAGCTATTCACCTGATTGGGGACTAGGAAGAAGCCTTTTTAAGAAAAGTTATGTGAAGCTGGAATGATAGTATAGCAAGTAAGGTGCTTGCCTTGCATTCAGCTGACCCATGTTCAACCCCCAGCATCCCCTATGGTCCCTTGAGCCTGCCAGAAGTGATCCCTGAGTGCAGAGCCAGAACTCAACCCTGAGCACTGCTGGGTGTGGGCACCCACCACACACACACACACACACACACACACACACACACACACACAAAAGTTATGTTATCAGTTTGGCAGCGCAACTGTTGCCTTGCAAATGTGAGACCCTGGGTTTGATCCCCCACCACAGCAAAATTTAAAAAAAAGAATTCATTTGATACATGGAGAGAGCTGGATAAGCTAGAGCACATGCTGTGTGTGCCAGAGGCCAGGGCTCAGTCCCAGTACTGCATGGTCCCCTGAGTGTCTCTAGGAGTCACCCCCAAGCATCAAGCCAAGAGTAGCCCCCAAGTTGTGCGTGGCTGGAAAACAAACAAAAAGTCTGTTCTGTCCTGGAAATAAGTACTATCATGAAAGGGTGAAAGGAGTGAGACTAAAGAAATTAAATACTCCTTAGCACTCTGGAATAGAGCCCACCCACAAACTTTCGTAGAGATTTCTGGGCCTCATCTGAGGGTTCGGTCACTGAATTTAGAGATTCGTGGCATGCCTGGAGGCAGAGGGAGTCTTTCTCCTACCATGGCAGGCCTACAAAAAGCACTCTATGTTTTGTTCTTCTCTACTTTCTAGTTTCTCTATGATGAACATGTTAACTAAAAATAAAAACAAGTGTTTTAGAAAGAGTAATAAAGACAGTGCACCAGGAAGGCATTATGTGTCTGGGGGTCAGCAGGACCAGAGATTGGCACCAAGTCATTGATTCTTTTCTTTTTTGGTGTTTTTTTGTTTTCGTCTTTATGTTGTTACAACAGTGGTGCTCAGAACTTTTTCATGCCTGCCCAGGAATGACCCCTGGCTGTGTTCAGGGAACCTTGTATGGGGCTGGGGCAAACCAGGATTAATTAGCAAGATGCAAGGCAAGTCCGTTAACCAGCTGTGCTGTCTCCCAGGCACCCCACTGGTTATTTTCATGCTGTCAGAGGATCCTCAAACCATTCCGAGTCTGCAGGCTGGTTTCTGTACCCTGAAGCAACCACTGCAAGCGGGGAGGGATCTTGGGTGACACCGCTTCCATCCTGTGCGTGGAGCTGTGTGTACGCCCCTCCTTAGCAAGGCCCAGAGCTCAGCGTGGTCTGACAGTTTTTTTGTTCTGTCAAGAAACTTCTACCATGGGTAATGGAGATTTCCCTCCCACCTTCCCAGGCACCAAATGTCCCTTGAGGGGACTTGTTCCACCTTGGGGTCATTCAGATAACCAAAGTTCTCAGTTGAGCGACGCAGCCTCTGATGAGTCTCTTCTTTTTCTTCCTCTTGTTCCAGGGACCGAGTGGGGCCAATCTTCCGGTGCTGCCTCCCCGGGTCTCTTCCAGGCCGGTCACAGACGCACGCCCTCTGAGGCTGACCGCTGGTTAGAAGAGGTGTCTAAGAGCATCCGGGCCCAGCAGCCGCAGACCTCAGCTGCCCCTCTGCAGCCCATTCTCCAGCCGCCTCCCCCCACTGCCATCCCTCAGCCAGCGCCACCTTTCCAAGGGAATGCATTCCTCACCGCTCAGTCCGTGCCAGTGGGGGTGATTCCACCCCTGCAGCCAGCCTTTGTCCCTGCCCAGCCCTATCCTGTGACCAACGGGATGCCCTATCCAGCCCCTAATGTGCCTGTGGTGGGCATCACTCCGTCCCAGATGGTAGCCAATGTGTTTGGCACTGCAGGCCACCCTCAGACCACGCACCCCCATCAGTCTCCCAGCCTGGCCAAGCAGCAGACATTCCCTCAGTACGAGCCAAGTGGTGCTGCTGCCAGTCCCTTCTTTAAGCCGCCTGCTCAGCACCTCAACGGGTCTGCAGCCTTCAATGGGGTAGATGCGAGCAGACTGGCCTCGGGAGACAAGCACTCAGAGGCATCTGCGGGGACCTGCCCGGTGGACCCTTTCGAGGCCCAGTGGGCTGCGTTAGAGAGCAAGGCCAAGCAACGTACCAACCCTTCCCCCACCAACCCTTTCTCCAGTGACTTACAGAAAACGTTTGAAATTGAACTTTAAGCAGTCCCTGTGGCTCATGTATTTTGTCTGCACTTAAGGCAAGGGCAGGGGTGGGGAGATAACAGAGCAGAGGGGCCGAGGTGTTCCTGGTCAGTACTCTATAAAACCCAAAGGTCTCAAAGGAGCGTGGCTAGGCAGAGTACAGTCAGGTGTTATTTGGGGTGGAAAGACTGAGAAATACATTCCTAGAGAAGAGGTGACTTGCGGTTAAACTAAGGAATTCAAGGGAACGGTGCCCCCTGTCCCTCCACCCCCCTCCCCTTCCTATGTTCCTTACAAATCTCTGGCAACAGAGAGGCAGATGTATCTCAACAGAAACCTGTACTCAAAGCACATTTACTGAAGCTGAGAAAAAAAAAAAAGAGGAAGCAAGATGATCTTTGTTTCTCAGACTGGCGCCTGCCTCCTCTCTGCCACCCTGTCTTAGCGCTCAGGAGAGGCGGCTGGGGCTGGGGTTATGCTGCCAGACACCAGAACTCTGGGAGGGCGTGGCTGCAGCCTCCTGCAGAGCTATATTTTAGGGGTAAAGTTGAGCTTCCATTTTGAGTAACAAAATAAATATTATAAATATATATCAAAAAAGCCAAATCTTTATTTTTATGCATTTAGAATATTTTAAATAGTTCTCAATATTAAAAAGTCGTCTGAGTTGTAAGTAATCTTGCCAAAGGTAAAAGGGTTAGCTGTAAGAAATTGTACATAAGATTGATTTATCATTGATGCCTATTGAAATGAAGGGGGAAGGTTGAAAGTGGCAGACAGGATCCCCAGCGTATTTGGTGTCATTCATTGTAAGTAGCGCATTGCAACAACAATCATGCTTATGACCACTAGGTTGTAGTTTTAAATAAGAATGAAAGAGCAGTATTGTTCTGGTTTAAAACCTGTGACGGAATTCTAATGTCATTATTTTAATGGAATCAAGCTAAATATGCTCTCTAGAGGCTCTGTATTCCTTTATATATGGCTGCAGTTTCCTTCTGTTAATCCTTTGTTTTAACCCTAAGATGACAATGACACACGAATCATATCACAGAGGGAGTTATTGTGTTGGTTTGTCATGTGGGTCTTGGTGGGGTTTGTTTGTGGGTTACTGTGTTGGTTTGTCATGTGGGTCTTGGTGGGGTTTGTTCTGTCCTTTGTTCCCATGAGTTCTGTGGGGATGGAAGTTATGTATTCTTAGGGTGTGTGTGTGTGTGTATGTGTGTGTGTGTGTGTGTGTCCACCCCCCTCCCAGGGAGCAACGTCCCGTGGCTAGTTGCAGCCACTTGACCTCTGGTAGCAACGTGCGAACCCATCTCATTTTCACTCTTGAACGTTGGCCTTACAATCAAATGTAAGTTATATATATATATATATATATATTTGTACTGATGAGAATTTATAATCTGCTTTAACAAAAATAAATGTTCGTGGTAGAAGCCTTTACCTATGAAGAGCTGTTTCTCCCCTTTATTAGCAAAATGAGTTTATGTGTAGTTCATTTTGGTTTCTCTCCATTCTGATACTGCTGCCTCTGTTCTCTAGTATGTATACTTCAGAATGCCACTGATCCTGAGTGCGTCTCTAATGTCATGTTCTTGCTGCTCCGAGTGGGCGTGGACTCCACCTAGGGGCCAGGCATGGAGTTGCACTCTCTGCCCAGCCCCAGCCCTACTAAGTCACTTGGGATTCACTTCCTGAGAAATCTTAGGCTGAAGTGATGATTCTCAGCCATGGATCCATCCCTAGTAGATAAGTATCTGTGTCTGACCCACATGCTAACCAAACGAAATCCAAATCTCTGTGGACACAGTTCAATTAAAAAAAAAACTCCCAGTTCAGAAAAGGGCCAAGAACCATTGATTTAAGCAAGTGTTACTCTGTTCTCTTAGGGGAACTGTACCGAGCAAGTGCTTGGGTGTTGCTTCTGGTGGTGCTCAGGGGCCATGTGGTGCCTGGGCGTCCTACATGCAAAGCATGTGTTCAGCATATTTTACTCTCTCCAGCCTCATCACTAACCTTATAGATCTGGTCACTGTGAAGAGTGAGCTGGCTTAGTGCCTGCTATCTCCCAGCTTGCTTTCTGAATTGGGTCACTGATAGGCTAGATTCTGATGTAATTATAGGACTGACTGGGGGATCCAAGTAAACAGACTTGGAACAAAGGCAGCCTCAGTAAATGCCAGGAGCTGCTCTCAGTCATTTTTTAAATGGAAAAAGAACTCAACCCCTGGACCATATTCCTTCATGGACCGAGACAGAGATCAAGAAGTACAACTCTGTTTCCCGCTTTTCCAGTCCTTGTGTCAGTAATAAGAGTACAATTGCAAAAATTGACTCCCTCTCCTGTCTGTGTCCAAGAATGACCTTTGCTATCAGCCCTGCCAGTCTCCAGAGGATCTGCAGAAGCAGAAAGTGACTTGGAAGCTTGTTACACGGCAGCCCATTGTTTCAGAGTGAAGAGTCGCGAGCTTTGGGGAGATGAAGGATGAGTTCCTCCAATTCCAGCACTGCTGAGGCCACTGCTCAGTGAAAACAGTGACCGCCCCCACCCCTGCCCCTATGCCCATCCTGCTAATGCTGTTTTTATTCACAGCCTGGTTTGGGCAGCAGACATTTTGCTTCAGAGTCTTACTGGAGGAGAAGCACCTCATCACACAGAGTGAGCCCACCAGCTGGCAGCATGAGACAAGTCACAGCCAGGTTGTGTGTTGACCTCATGAGGGCTCGGGGTTCCCGCTCTAGAAGAGGAGCATGCCTATTGCCTTCACGCTGGGATCCTAATGCAACTGCCATCCTTTCTCCCAAGGCATCGAGTCTCACTGAATTCCACTTAGCTGAGCCAGCCTGCCAGTAACTGCAACCACAAATGGGACTTGGACTCTGCACTGTCCAGAGAGGAAGAGAGACTAGTGCAGTGGGCCCTGCTGTGACCTCAGCTTAGCCCATCTAGTTTAGCAGAGTAAGTCGCTGGCACAGCAGCACTGGGCGTTCCCAGGATGAGGTAGGTGTGAACCCAGCACACACCTCCCCACCCTGCCCCAGATGAAGTCAGAACCCTGACAGCATGTTGTAGAATGCAGTGAGCTAATCCTGCAAGACAGAAATCACGGGGAGGAGAGGGGAGAGGTTGTGAAGGAAGGCACTTTTTGTCCAGATGTTCTTGGCACCTCAACAGCTGTCTCTGTGTGGTACTTTTGTCCAAGAGGAGATGCCACTGGGGGCAACATAGGGAAGCTGGCAGGGCTGCAGCAGCCACTCTGGGGTGGGGTGGGGGAAAAGGAAAGTACCGGTGCCAGCCAGCCAGTGCCAGGAGAGCCAAGAGTCCAGCTTCCCTTCTCTCCTAGGCCCTAGGCGTTGTTTGGAGCTGGAACTAGAGCAAGCCTTCAGCCTTGCTGCCAGACAGGCTGCGCTTGGGGCTGGACGCGGGAACAGCTGGCGCAGCAGAAGCTGGAGTAATACTCATTGCCGCAGAGCTGGGCCTGCAGGATCAGGCCGCAGTTGGCCAGCTCCGGCTGGTCAATGCAGTCCCTGCTGGAGTCCCAGGGCCGGGCAGCCGGTGCTGCAAAACAACAAACAGGAAACAAAAGTGAGAAAGAAAGTCCCACACACCCCGGAGTCTTAAAGGAGAAGGAAGTGACAAGGAGCGAGAGGGAAGGTCCATGCACTGCACTGCGGAGTCTTAACAGCTCTGTGGGTCCCAGGTGCCGGGGAAGAAGAGCACTTAACTCTGCACCCTCCCAACATGAGTGACCAGCTGCACCAGGGGCATGATTTCACCACTTCACTGACCTGGCCCCAGCAGGCAGTGGGTCTCCCACTTGTCCTGTGCATGGCCTTAGCCCTGTGCAGACACCCTAGGATTTCCCGACTGCAAAGCTGAGTGCCGCCTGCCTGCCTGGCCGCAGGGTGGGGACCGGGGAGAGGAGGCGAGCTGGTGAGAGCTATCTGCTTGCTGGTTTTTGGCAACCTCCAGGCAGTAGGTAGACCTGCAGGGGCCCCTGTCATCACAGCCCCTTTCGCTTTGCTTCTCCCTCCTCCCGCAGGGGAAACAGCTTGGGGCAAGAAGATAGGACCACAGCATGGGGAACCAGGCCTCCAATCTGGCAGTGGGCACCAAATGCTGGTGCTCAGATCCTCAGAGTTTACTGGCAGCTTCTGAGCCTTTGAGCTGCTGACAAGCATTCACTCTGCCACAGGAAGAATACGGACATTCTAACGGTCTCCGTTAGGACTGTAGAGAAATCGCAGCCAGTCTTTCTCAAGAGAAAAATCTGTGCAGACCATTAACAGTGTCCCCTGTTTAGCTGTTGCCGGTGGCCCACCCTCGGCCACTGTTCCTGTAGTTGTCAGACCATGGAGGATGCAGGAAGATGAGGAAAGGCAGAGCCCTGTGCTCCCCCCCCCCCCCCAACTCCCATCACACACGGGCAGTAACTGGCCAAGCAAGCCAGGATTTGGACTCGAGTCTGGAACCTTGACCATGCCCCATAGCACACAGCCATGCACAGGGTTGGCAATTACCTGGTGGGACCACCTTCACCTCAGTGCTGCGGCTGACGGCCTGGCTCCCCCGGTAAGCACTGCACGTGTAGGAGCCCTCGTCCCTGGCCCGCAGGTTATGGATGAGCAGCGTGCCATCCGGAGACTGGTACACACGATGTCCATCGGCCTGCACCGGAAGCCCATTGCTGGGGGGAGAGAAACGTGGTGAAGACCTTTGAGAACCAACCATTCCCTCTCCTCTAGGGCACACAGAAACACCAACAGAAACAGGAGTGAGAAAGAACATAAAGCAAAATAATTCCCAAGGGAGGTGAGCTCGCGCTACCTCAACAGTTACTGAGAACCTGCCCGGTATCCACAGGGGGACTCCAGCCTCCCTTCTCATTAACAGTTCTCATAAGCAGCCAGGAGGGGCCAGGCCCTGTGTGGGTGCATGACAGAAGCATCCTGGTCTCCAGGACTCTGGTCAGGGGGGCTCTCCTCCATGATGCTGCCTCTGGACCCGAGGCTGAGGAAGAAGAAGGGAGAAGATGGGCTACGGCAGGTGGAAAGCTGGAGGTGTCCGAGGCTCTGGCACAGAGCAGGGCTGTGTGGTGGGACCCAAGGAAAGCAGGTACTGACCTAATGGTCGTACTCTGAAAGGCCCACAGGATGGGGTGGGGGCAAGCCTGAGAGCTGAGACCAGGGAGCTGCCACGGGAGACACACAGGTGACATGGAACTGGTGAGGTCAGACATTGAGAAGAAGAAATCAGAATCTGGGGCCGCAGAGATAGCCCAAGGACTAAGGCAAGCCTTGCATGCTGCTGACACTTTTGACCACTGATACCACCTGTGGCCCCTGACCACCGCTAGGTGACATCCGCAACACCCCCAATGGCAAAAAATTCTACTTGGGCGATCAGAGTAAGGGGGTGCCCATCCCACCTGGAAAAATCCAGGGTGGAGGTAATGTTACGGTTTCCCCACACTTGAGTGGTGATGCCAGAAGGCATTAAAATTTGAGGTCTGGGTCCGAATCGTCTATCCAAACTGGTGAGTCTATCTGAATAGTTTTATCCAAACTGATGGGTTCCAGAAGCCGTATATCTGCCCACCGTGAAGTCAAAAGTGACAACAAACAGGACCAAGAACAGGCTCTGTGGTGGACTCCTAAGGCAGCAACGAAGGGGTGTTGGGGGTGAGAAAGCAGGCAGGAAAAGGAAAGCAGGAGCATGGTTCCTGAGACCACGGGGAGTGTTTCCGGGGAGTCAGCCGATGATTGTGCAGGGTTGGAACAGGGCGCTGTGGGGTGACGGAACAGGGCAGATCCCCCAGGCGGTGGGAGATGTGAGGAGGAGACAGCATGCAGCCAGCATGCAGCAGGCAAGGGGTAGAACTGCCATTCAGTTCAGTTCAGCAGGCAAGAGGCTGCCATTCTGTTTTGTTTGGGGGGACCCCCAGCCACGTCCACTGCTGGGAGGGTATGAGGGAGGCAGAATGGAAGGTGGAGACCTGACAAGCAGGTCAGGACCCAGACAGCGGAAGTTTCCAGAGGACCGGAGGCAGCCCCCCCTTTGCTCCACTCCAGCGCAGCCAGCTTCTCTCCCAGAAACCTCAGCAAGAACATCCTTCCTCAACCTTCGAGGCAACCCCCGTCACCTCCAGAGCCACTTCCTGCCTGGGAGTGAGAGTCTCGGGGGCTCGTTCCCCAGAGCCCTTGAGCCTAGCCTCGCCCTGAAACTGCAAGGCAGAAGAGACTCGACGAATGCCACTGAGTCAAAGTCCTCTGCAGTTCCCACCGTGGTGCGCGCAGTCTCGGGGAGCATTGTGATCTCTGGGTAAAGGCCTGGACGCAGTGAGCAGCCCGAGGGGCACAGGAGGACTGCCCCCCAATCACCAACACCACCACCACAACCAAAGCAGCCGGGCCGGAAGCTCACAGGGAGACTCAGGAAGCCTAGTGTGGCCTCATCAATGGAGCAGAGGGTCCTCGCCCCACTGTAAGAGACGAAGGGGCTACAGTCTGTCTTCCGGCATCCCAGGAGGCAGGAGCAGCCGAAGGGGCAAGAGGTAGACAGTCGGGGAGTGCCTCACCGCGACCACCTGACGTTGGCGCTGTCTCCTGCCACCACACACAGCAGCCTGGCCGTGTCACCCTCTGGCACCGTCATTGCGGGGGGCAGCCCTGTGATGGTCAGCTCCCCTGTGGCCAGGAGAGGTGCCAGTCAACCACCGTGTCCCCCATCCCCACCTTACACCTCCACATCCTCCCAACCCCAGGACGGGCGCCTCACCCAGCACTCGCAGCTGGACCCACCGCTGGTCTCGGTCACGCCCGTCGGAAGCCACGCAGGCGTAGAAGCCCCCGTCTTCCGGTGCCACATCCCTGACCAGCAGAGAGCCGTCGAGCTGCAGCTGGTATCTGGGGACCAAGCACATTGTGTTGGCTTCAACCTCAAGGGGGCTGCAAGGAAAGGGGCTTCCTCTCCCCACCTGTTAGGTGGGCTCAGGGGCCAGTGGGGTGCTCCCAGCCTCTGGTTGCAGCCACTGACATCTCCACATACTCAGAAATGCCTGGCAATATCGGCCGGAGTGATAGTCTAACAGGGAGGGCACTTGCCTTGCACACAGCCAACCCACGTTCGATCCCTGGCATTCCATATGATTCTCTGATCCCCACTAGGAGTGAGACCTGAGCACAGAGCCAGCAGTAACCCCTGAGCACCACCAAGTTTGGCCCCCAAACCAAAAAGAAAAACAAAAAGGAACACCTGGCAACAAACAGATTGAGTTCTCCGCTACCAACACCCGACCTGTGCTTTCACACTGCCATGGGGGGTTCATGCCTTTGTGAACTGAGTGACGTGGACCTTCTGTGTGCAGTGCTGGGGTGAACCCCTCACCGGGGACTCAGCGAAAGTTCCCGGTGAGAGCTCCCTCAGCAAAATAGCGACTACATGTCCTCCACAGGCTCCCCTGTGACTCCTCTACCCGCTGACCTCACCCCAGAGAGGCCCAGGGGGCAAGTGGCCACTGCACCTGTTCTCAGCACTTCCCCCCACTACCCCGGGCCTGCCCAGGATGGGGGCAGGAGAGAGGAGAGAACCAACCTGGGGGGGTATAGGGTCTGTCCGTCCCGTTGCCACTCGATGGTTGGGGGTGGGTCACCCTCGGCACGGCACGGCAAGAGGATCTGCTGGCCCGGGTGGGCGTCCACCACCCCAGGCTGGTTCCGGTCCAGACGCAGCCTACAGAACAAGCACCCCACGCATGAAGGGGCTCTGGCTAGCACCATGCCCCTGTTCCCCTCTGTGTCTGGATCACAACAGCCCCAGCCAGATCCAACTCCCTAATCTCCCCTTCGGGTGAATGTGCCCCCCTCAGCACTCCCCAGAAGGAGCCCCCCTGGGCTTTCTTCCTCCATGGCCCCTCGCTAGAGCATTCTTCCCTCTCCAGGCTCACTTCCTAGGCCCAGGGCTACTGTACCCCCCCACCCACCGGGAGCGCCCCATTCCTCTAGAGACCAGGGGTCAGGCTTTCCCACCCTCACCTCTGGGGCGAGCCAGCCTGGTCTGCATCCATTCTCCCTTCCCTCACCCCCAGGGACTTTGTCCCACTGGGAGCAGCTGGGGTGGGGGGTGGAGGAGGGGCACACTGTTACCTGGTTGTGGGCCCAGGGTGCGAGGAGATGACCCTCCGACCCCCAGAATTCTCCCCGCGGCTGGAGTCTCCAGTCTGAGGGTACCTGGGCTCAGCTTCAGTCAGCACCGCCCCATCACCCCCTGTCGGGAAACCACAGTGACTGGGCATGGGTAAGAAATGAGATGGCCCCACCCCCAGCCCAGCTGTGCTCAGGGCTCCCCCCAGGTGGGCCCCCAGGACCATCTATGGGGACCCATATGGGTCGGCTGTGTACAGGGCAAGCACCCTCCTCCCTGTGCCCCCCGCATGACGGGAGCACAGGGCCCAAGGAGCCCCCAGTCCGCCCTGCTGCCCATGGGAACCCAGTGACCACCTAGCAGCGGGGACCAACCCGTGACACGCAGCTGGAGACTCGAGTCCCTGCCGGGTCCAGCAGGGCCACAGCTATAGGTGCCTGTATCCTCCGTCAGCAACGGGCTGATGATCAGGGAACCGTCTGGCTGCCTCATGTGCCTGCAAGGGGAGGTTGGGGGGCTATGTCAGACCCGACCAGAACAGACCTTGGCCCCAGGGCACTCACTGCCCACTCCTGAGTGGGGAGGGGGCTCCGAGGGCCACCAAACACACCTTTCGGAGGAGAGGGGTCGCCCGTCTTTCCACCAAACTGCACGGGGGTCCGGCGGGGAGTCATCTGGGCAGTTGAGATGCACCCACTGGCCCGCGACTGCTTGCACTAGGGATGGCTCCGCGCCAGCCAGGCCAACCCTAGAGAGAAGGAGGAGCAGCCCCTCTGGCGGAGAGCCAGGACCCCTTTCCTCCCCCAGGAGCTTGGAGTTCCTCCTCTCGCCTCACAGGCACTTGAGGGCCAGAGGCTTGCAGCCCTGGACTCAGGGACCCGCCTCCACATGCCCCGATTGCTCCTCCCTCAGCCTGTGGGATGTCATGGAGCTGGCATGGAGAGACGGGAAGAGCCACACACTCAGGGGGCTCTGGTGGACACACACCAGGGGCTCCTGGTGGCGCACAGTGGGCGGCTTCTGCTTGTCTGGTCTTGCTGCGGTGGCGGAACCCAGGGCCTCAAGCGTGCCAGGCATGGACTCAGCCGCGCCCCACGTCAGCCTCTTTGCAATGTCAAGTTTTGCTCTATTTCATTATAAGTCTTCCCAAATCTGGGGCTGGGGATCAACCGCAAAGTAGAAGCCTGGATTAGGCCTAATTCTATGGTCTGGCACCCAAAAAAAAGAAAAAAAAAAAAACTTCCCAAATGTCACTCACTCATGTGACTCAGTTCTAAGAGTGACAACACAAATCTCTCAAACTATTTCACCATTTCATGGGTCACAAAATGGATTACCCGCTAGATAGGCTGCAGGGTTAGGGAGGCCAGAGGCCGGGCTGGAAAGCTCAGCAGAACACATATGGTGCACCCAGGAGCCTGGCTTGGTCCCCAGCCCTGCACCCGGATTGGCCCCTAAGCACAGAGCCAGAAGTAACCTCTGAGCAGCCAGCAGGAAGTAACCCCTGCCTACAAGGCCCAAACACACACACACACACACACACACACACACACACACACACACACTGGGCTGGAAACAGTACAGCTGGTCAGGTGTTTGTTCAATCCTAGCACCTGAGCACTGAGTCAGGAGCAGCCCCTGGGCATCACTGGGTGCTGCCTTCAACCCCTCACCCCCTAAAACCATAAATCCAAAAAGGCAGAATCTGACCCAGAATCACGCTCCCCTTGCTCCTGGCTGCCTGAGTCAAGGCAGGACCACGTCTCGGGTTGAGCCCCTCAATCGGTTCTTCCTGGCAGGGCTGTCTGAGGCTGGTCCAGGGTTCAGCGCCCACAGCATCAGCCCCCTGCCCAGACATGGTGGGCCTTACCTGTGGGACGAGCCGTGGGGAGGGGGCGCTGGCTGCCCGGAGCCTCGGTACCCCAGCTCCTGGTCCCAGGCCCCTCCCCCCCAGGCCGGAGTACGAGGCGGCTCTCCGGAAGACGAAGGCTGCTGGGAGCCCTGGCAGCTCCTCATGCACTCCTCTTCTGTGGCAAAGTTGTTGGCGTTGCCATGGCAGCCGCCATACCAGAAGCGGTTGCATCGGCCCACAGAGGCCACGAAGTACCAGCGGGCAGCCCAGTGCGTGCAGGAGCCGAGGGCGCTGGGCAGCAGGCACCGCACCGGGTATGCTGAGGGCGGGGGACATAGTCACTCCAGGCCATGCCTCAGGGCCGAGACCACGTCTCTGCCAGGGACCCCCTTGCTCCCAGGACCCCCTCCAGCCCAGTGTGCCCACCCTCAGGCCCGCACAACCCTGCCCAGCCAACACCCACCTCCCACAGTTCCCACACTCCAGCCGGGCCTGGCTCTCCCTGCCCCCATGATGGCCCTGCAGTGACCTCCATCCAGGCCCACCCAGGAACGCTTGGGGAACACCCTGCCCATTGGGCACCCCACACCAGAAGCCTCTGACGAGCCCTCCAGAGCAGGCTGTACTTCTGGCCCCAGGACCTACCCATCCCCACCCCCACCCCCACCTCCCAGCTGCTGAAAGGTTCAAGGACCAACCTGGAAACAAGAATACTCGGGCCCAACCATATTTCCCTACATTAGCGTCAGTGCCTCACTGTTGTGTTGTTTTTGTTCTATTTTGTTTTCAGTAATACCACTACAACTTTTGCTTTTCTCCCTCTCCAAATAAAATCTTCACATAATAGTCGTGCTAATAGTCGTGCCCTGCTTGCTTGCTTAGTTGCAAAACACACACACACACACACACACACACACACACACACGTTGGCAAATTCTATGCTGATGCAGTAAAACACTGTCCTCCCATTGTTCATCGATTTGCTTGATGCGGGCCCAGTAACGTCTCCATTGTGAGACTTCTTGTTACTGTGTTTGGCATACTGAATACTCTCGGTAGCTTGCCACGCTCTCTAGAGGGGTGGAAGAATCAAACCTGGCTTGGCCGGGCTGGCTTCGCGCAAGGCAAATGCCCTACCGCTGTGCTATCACTCTAGCCCAATGCAGTGATGCAGTGAAATACGGACATATAGATCCATCACCCTATTTGGGAAACTAGAGTCTTCCCTCCAACCCCCCAAGCCCCCCATGGGGTCCTGGGTGTCGGGTGGGTAGCCTGTGGGCACAGATCCCACAGTGGAAAGGAAGGGGGCGCCCTCTCACCGTAGCTGGGCTGGCCCACACAGCCTTCCCCCTGGGGGCCAGCTGCAGGGACTGAGTTGTCATAGCAGCAGCCGAACTGGGAGCTTCGGCACTCCTGGGGCTCGCTCTGCTGGGCCTGGGGCCGCTGGGCCTGGGGCACCTGGAAGTTGGTTGCGGGGAGGTCTGGCTTCTGGTGGAGGTTCCGGCTGCCAGTAGGGTGGGGACAACAGGACAGCAGGGAATCCACAGGCAGCGGAGGAGCTGGGTGCCAGGAGAGTGTTGGCTGTAACCCTCACACAGCCCAGCAGGCTGCAGGATCCCCTCTCTCCAAGCCAGATCTGCTAAGAGTCGGCGTGACAGTGGAGTGGAGCACTCAGGGGGAAGGGGTGAAGGGCATGTACCTCAGGAGACAGTGCTCGGGGCCCCGGCCTGCTCCCTGGGAGGATGCCTTGGTCTGAGCGCGTGCAACCGGCCTGGCGGGGCCCCTCAGCCGCAGATTCTCCATCAGGGCAGCACCCAAACCTGCACAGACATCACCCCGTGGCCTCACCGCCGGCCCCAGTCCTCCCTCTGGGCCCCCCCCAAAGCTGCCAGTACCCGGCTCTGAGGCTCCCCACTCTGGCCAACCAGATGAGGAGGCGAGGGGGGCTGAGAACCCCCCCATACAGGGCACCCCTCTCTGCACCCCAGTCTCTGCCCATCTCCAACAGCCACAGGAGCAATTGCACCCCTAGAAATAGACAAATGCCCCACTCACAACCCAGCCCAAAGCTGAAAACAAATGGGCATCCTCCGGGCTTGCCCCAGGGCCTGGCTCCCAGGGAGGCCCAACAGAATAGTGATGGTGGGAGATGGGGCAGAATGGGGCGTTGTTGTAAGAATCCCACCCTCTTTCCTCACCTCGTTCAACCAGGGATCAGAAGGTGAGTGAGTGGGGAGTGACCTGAGCTCCTTCTGGTGCCCCCACCTGAGCTCTTCCACCCACAGGGGGCCCCACGGGGGCTGTCACTGTCCCCAGTTCTCAGAAAGAGAAGCCAGGATCAGAGAAGGGCTTGGCCCAGGTCACCCCGCATACAGCTGTTCAGTGGCTGGACCTCACAGCGGGCAGCTGACCCCCATGCTGGGTTCTAGCAGCCCCAATTGATAGCAGAGGTCCTGCAGGGGCAGCCAGGGACAGCTCTGGAAGTCGGGGATTGGAGGGGGGTGCACAGGGAGCAGCGGGGAGCTGAGGACAGCCCAGCTGGCAAGCCTGGCAGGGCTGGGAGAGGAGGCGAGAGTCCCCCACCCTGCTGGCCCCTGATCTGCAGAGCTCCCCTCCAGCTGAGCCCTGGACAGGCAGAGAGGGACAGTGCTGGGGACTGCTCCTGCCCTGCCCACCAGCCACTCCCTCTACAGAGGCGCTGCCCCGCCCACGGCGCCCTCACGTACCCAGCCCTTGACCTACAGACTCCCACCTGCTCTGCTCACAGGAGGTCTCAAGGCAGCCTTGCCACCGTGGGCCCAGAGAGGCTGTGTGGCTGTCTGGGCAGCACCCATGGGGGCTGTGCCTGCAGTCCTGGGCCCCCAAACCAGGCCCTGGGGGGTGACGGTGGGGGGATGGCTGCAGAGAGGGTGGCGGGCGGGGACCCTGGTTTCCTTCAGGGGCGCTCTGGGTGGAGGTTCGTTCTCGTGGTGCCCACCATGGGTCTCTGGGATCTAAGACGAAGAAGCGGAGAGTCCTGTAGTGTCCACCAGGCGCCTTCCCCTCCCTCTGTGACCCCAAACCAACGATAACCCCAGACTCGCCTCCAACTCACTTGGAGATGCAAGATAAGAAGGCGCTGGGCTGGTCTTGGGGGGGCTGCTCACCTGAGACAGAGGCCGCCCGAGGACTTAGAGACACCCGGGGTTCTCTGGGGCTGGAGTGTGCAGCTGGCACGCTGGGGACCCCTGCAGGGGCAAGGGGGGAGGGGGCACAGAGGGAAGGAGGGAAGAGTGGCAGGAGCAGCCCTGACCACTCCACCCCTGCCCGGGGTGCAGAGGGGGAGATGGGACAGAGAAGTGAAAGCAAGTGTTCTGCACCCCCCACACACACCCCATGCCCCACCTGCCCAGCAAGAGGGGGTCGGGCGCGGAGAAAGTGCCAAGGAGGCACCTGCTGCCGCTCACAGGAAGGCAAGGCAGAAAAGGAGTGTGTGTCTGTAATGGAGTGGGAAGACCAAAAACAAACAAAAAAATCAGTTGGAAAAGGGACAACGAGCTGGAACAGACAAGACAGACATGCGGCCGAACAAGCACACGGAAAGAGGCTCAAGAGTACCACCAGTCACGAAGGGACACGAGTCGAAGTCACAGTGAGACTCCACATTAAGCCACCAAGATGCCTCTAATAAGGATTAACACGGAAGGCTGAGAGATAGTCCAGGGGTTAAGGCACTTGCAGATACCTGGTTCGAATCCCTAGGACCCCGTATGCCCCCCACCCACCCCTGCACCGCCAGGGCTCACTCCTGAGCACAAAGCCTGGAGTAGCCCTTGAGCACTGCCTGGTGTGCACTTAAACACACACACACACACACACACACACACACTAACAAAATACCAAGGGTTGGTGAGGACAAACTGCTTCCCTCATACCTAGCTGATAGGCAGCCCTGTGGAACCTGCTAGATCTGGGCAAAGCTCAACCAGGGCACAGCACTTCCACCCCTCAGAGGCCCAAGAGAAATGAAAGCAGCACCACACAGAAATGTGAACACAGAGCCGCACAACCCGGGCAAAGGTGGAAACACCCCAAACATCCAGCCACAGCCAAACAAAGCAACAGGCCCCGGTCTCTATGCGTGAGGGTGTTTAACTTGTTACGGTTTTCGGTTTCCGGAAACGCAAAGAGGCGCCTTTCCAAGGCAGATTCTGAGCAGGCAGATCCACAGGCAAAGCCAAATGAAAGCAGAAGAGCTGCGGGCTCAGGGAGTGGGACTCAGTGAGCACCCGGGACCAGTATGGAACGGGGAAAGCTTTTGAAACTCACGGGGACTGGCGGTTGCACCACATGGGAAAAACACCAATAACCTATGGTGCTTCTTCAAATGGTGCTTGCACAATTATGTGAATTTTACCCCAATAAAAAAATTTATATTAAAAACAATGGAATTGGGGGACCAAAGAGATAGTCCAGCAGACAGGGCACTTGTCTTGCACACAACCAACCCGAGTTCAATCCCCGGCATCACATAGGGTCCCCTGAGCACCACCAGGAGTAATTCCTGAGTGCAGAGCCAAGAGGAAACCCTGCGCATTGGCAGGTGTGACCCAAAAACAAAACAAGAAAAAAAAATGGAATTGATTGACAAGGGAGAGTGTCGATCATGGAAAAGCCAGTAGAAGAAAACACTGATAGTAGAATTTAGATAGCGGCTTCTTAACTGCTCATCACATGGTTCTTCAATTATTCTGTTTAAAATCCTGACTTGTGGGCCTGCGAGATGACTCAACGGGCTGAGTGAGCACAGGCTTTGCATGTGGAAGGGGCAGGTTTGATCCCAGTACCACATGGTCCCCAAGCACAGCCAGGAGTGACCCCAAGGACAGCCACGGGTGGCCAGACGCCAAAGTGAAAACAAGAGTGAGCAAGTAAGGACAGCTCTGATGCCTGTGTGACGTGTGACGGGGAGAGAAAGGCTGCCACCCAGGAGAAGCAGAACAGGCTGGTTCCTGAGGGTGGATACCTGGGGTCGGACTGCATGTGTGGCAAAGGCTTTAGCACGCAGAGATTCAAGGGAACATTCTGGGTGGCTGACCACGCACGGGGGCAAGCGTGAATAGCCTTGCAGGGGTGTGCAACAGGGAGGGGGCTAGCCAGGCTCTGCCTCTCCTTACCCGGGGGCAGGTGGCAGGGCTGCGTGTTACAGGGTTCCGTGTCCGCGGGCTTGGACAGCTGCAGGTTCCGGCAGCGGCCAGGGGGGCCAAGGGCACAGATGACCTGGCGCCTCCGGGCACCCGAGTTGCAGCTCTTTGAGCACTGGGGACCCCGGAGAGAGTAAGGGGGGAAGAGATCCTGAGCCCTGCTGTGGCAGAGGGTGGGCATGCCTGGGCATCGGGTGTGGGGAGGGAGCACTCACCAGACCCCAGGCACCCACGAGCCATGCCTGGTCACCGTGGTGGGGGCAGTCGTCAAGCACACAGGCCTCGGTGAGGGGCGGCCGCTCGTCCACGGAGCAGGCTGGGGCATGGAGCAGGGAGCCCTGCTCAGCCCTGCAGGTGACACGTCTCACCCGCACCCCAGGGCCGCAGCTCACGGAGCACTGCAAGAACAGGGGGTTGAGGAGCCCCTCACTGCTGGACCACTCCCTGGCCAGACACTGGGCCTTGCTCCCCGGAGCACACGGCCTGGCCGCATGTGTGGTCACCAGGCGGAGTGGAGCTGACCAGACCCCTCGCCGGCACTGTGAACACTCAGGGGGCTAGAAGCAGGGGTGAGGGACCCGACAGCGCCCACTGTGGCCTCTGCCTGAGTGACATGCGTGCCAGCATTTCCTCCAGCCCATCTTCCAGCCCTGCCCAGGCTGAAGAGAGGATGTCCAGGGTCAGCCACCACGAGGGCCAGCTTGGCCAGGCCTGACCTCGTGCCCCCCCCCCACCATCCCGGCTCAGCCCCTACCCCACCTCACCCCACCCCAAGACCTCACCTCTCCCCAGGGCTCTGCATGCCAGAACGCGCAGCGCTGCAGCTGGCAAGCCTGCGTGGCGGGGGGCTTCTCCGGCAGGCCTGCACACTCGGCCTCGCTGGTCGCCTCCTGGCCACCAGCCCCGTCAGATGAGACGCAGAAGACAGAGCGTGACTGGGAGCCGCCCCCACAGGAGGCCGAGCAGGGTGTCCAGGGGCCTGTCTCCCAGCTGGAGGGGACCAGGAACCCCATCAGGCTGGCCCAGGACTGGGGGGAGGAGGCCGAACATGCGGGGCATGGCTCTCACGCACAGGGAGAGTGACCCTGGGACACATACACAAGTACACACACCTCCATGCCTCCCGCCCCGCACGCACCCACAAACGCCCACGGCTGCACACGTGGGCACACACCCCTGCAATGCCCACTCGTATGCGCACCCACACACTCCCCGCACACACGCACATGCCCACACCCACATATCCCTGTACCCGCCCGCACACACCCATCCTCTCCGCGGTCAGGCCTGGGATGAAGCCATCCTCAAAGACCAGCCCCAAGGAGGCCGCGCCCCATGCACGGCGCCCTGAGTCTGACCCCGGCAGTGTATGAGCAGCGCTGAACCTGAACATCATAACCTCACATGGCCTGTGTATTGGACTATCGGAGCCCAAAGTCCCAGGAGTAGCCCCCAGGCCCCCACCTCAGCACTCCTGGGGAGGCCCAACCTCCCATCCCCCCCCCAAAAAAGGTCAAGCCCCATTCCTCTCTCCCCTCTGCAATGGCTCTGAATGCTCCCTACCCCCCCCCCCAACCCGCTGCCCCACTCAACTTTTCTGTCCTCACCTGGACCCCCTTTCCTCCCTCTCCCCAAGGCCCCTGTCACTCCAGTGGAATCCATTCCCAGTGGATCTGACTTCAGTGGTGGGGGGCTCCCCCAGAGGGGCTGTGCCTCTTCACGTGAGATGTGGCCCTGCCTGGTGCTGGTAAGTGCAGGGCCCAGGAGTAAGGGCCTTTCCCCTACCATCCGGGAAGGCCAACTAGCCCAACCCCAACCCCACCTCCAAGCAAGGTACCAGATTCTAGAGAAAGGAATTTGCATGGCCACGCCCATGCTGGCCCGCCACGCCCACACGGTCCTTGCCACGCCCACTCCAGTTCTGTCACGCCCACTCTAGCTCAGCCACGCCCACACTGCCCTGCCACGCCCACTCTAGTCTTGCCACGCCCACACCATCCCTGCCACGCCCACTCTAGCTCTGCCACATCCACTCTAGCCACACCAAGGTCTGGACCTTCTGGGCGCTACATCGGCACATTATGGTGGACAGTTAGCCCTGGGCTCACGCTCAGGTGCCTCCTCTGCTTCTTCCTCACTCAGGGTGGAGAGCCATGGGAAGCCCTGGGCCATAGGTCCTCTTTTCTTTACACCCAGGGCAGCCTAGGGCTCCCCCCCAATCCCCACCCCACCCACCCGGTCCATTCCCCACACCCCTCAGTGCCAAGGACAGGACTGGCATAGGCTCACCGTCGGGTCTGAGGGCAGGGCTGAAGGCTGCAGGGGCGGCGGCCAGCTGGCCGGGTCTGCAGCTGGCACATGTGGTCTGGGTAGGCCTCGTTGTCCGAGGTGCAGAACACAGCACGGGACTGGTAGCCTGTGGAGCAGCCACAGCTGGCGCTGGTCAGCCCACAGACCCCACATGCATGCCCTCTCGGCCAGGCAGAGCCCAAGGCTGGCCCCTTTGGCCCCCTTACAGAAGAGGAAGCTGAAGCTTAGCATTTTATGTTTGAGTGACCCAGCCAGGAGACTGGGCACCAGCTTCAGGCCCTCAGCAATGCCACGGCCTCCGGGAAGTCCTCTCTGGTGGTCTTGTTTGGAGAGGGGGCTTCACCTTAGTCCTCTCCCACCGCTAGGTTTCCCCAGGGTGGGGGTGCCCCTCCAGAACAGGCCTCACCTCCTCCACACTGGGCACTGCAGGGCTCCCAGGAACCGTGGCTCCAGCTGAAGCGGGGTTGGGGAGCTCCCAGGGGCAGGTGGTACTCGTAGTGCACACCGGGGTTGGGCTCCTGGCTGATGAGCTGCACAGGAGGGGCTTCCTGAGATGAGAACCAGCGAGGCCCCCTGGCCCACCTCCCGCCACGCACGGTAGCCTCAGAGGCACCAACCAGATCCTCCTCTCCTGCCACGCTCACCTCGATGACCAGCGGCTCCGAGGTGGGGCCTCGCGCGTATAGCCGCTCGGGCGCCAGGTCCCCCTCGGCTCCCCGCTCATAGTGCAGGATGGTGCTGGCCACGGGCAGGGCCTGGGCGGCCTTGATGCTCCAGTGCCCATTGAGGTAGTATTTGCCGTGGACTCCCCTCACCGCTGTGCAGGGGTGAGCGGGGACACCCTGTCAGGTCAGCTTGCAGGACGGGACCCACCTAACCCACAGGCTCCGAAGCCTCCTGAGCCCCATCTCCGCCTCACCCAGGAAGTTCCTGCTGGCAGCCGCCTCCTCGATGCGGATGCTGGTGGCCCCCACGGGAATGACCAGCATCTGGTTGTATCCTGAGGGACAGAAAACAGTGGGGAAGCCAGGGAAGGAGCCGGTTTGTAATGCCAGTGCCAGCGTGCAGCTGGGGCAAGGCCAGACGGACGCGGCCAGGGCCTGGCTGCAGGGAAGAAGGTCTTTTTTTTTTTTTCTTTTTGGGTCACACCTAGCGATGCTCAGGGGTTACTCCTGGCTCTGCACTCAGGAATTACCCCTGGTGGTGCTCGGAGGACCATATGGGATTCTGGGAATCATACCCGGGTTGGCCGCGTGCAAGGCGAATGCCCTGCCTGCTGTGCTATCGTTCCAGGCCCTGGGAAAAAACTCTTAAAGGAGGAAAGAGCCCCCTAAAGGGCACAGAGTTGGGCAGGCTTGGGCACCAGCTAAGACTGGAGGGGAGGGGACAGATGGGGACCGCAAGGGAGATGAAAAGGGGGCACCCAGTGATGTCACTAGGGGCCACGACCGGCGGGATCCTAACTAGCCAGGGCCACTAGGCTCCTGGGGAGGGTTTGTCTACACCTGCAGTTGCCTGACCTCTGACCTTTCAGTCAGACCCTTGCCTCTCACCTCAGCACCCCCTCTCCCCGCATCCTGTGAGTTTCCTGGGGTCATCTAGCTGTGACCCATAGCCAGAGTAGAAACCAAGTGAAACAAGGGCAGGCGGCCTGAGGCCTCCTCTGTCTTTGTACCCCAGGCAGGCCCCACCTCTGCTGAGGTCCTTGGCATCAAAGACACCTGTGACGGGGTAGCAGGTTGTCCCGTGGCCCCCGCACTGCAGACACTTGTCCTCCTGCACGGACGAGTCCAGATTGAGGTCACAGCCAACAGCCTGCAGGACAAGAGAGCAGAGGGGCTTCACACGGCCACCCGCCAGGCAGGGGCGAGTCTCCCAGGCCTCTCTGAAGTAATGACCAGTCCCCTTCTCCCAGAGACACCTCCCCCGCCAGATGAGGGAGGCCGTGTCTCTCCCCAGCCTTTGCACGGAGCACCCCAGAGTGTGGGCGACCCGTGGGTTAAGCCCCTGGCTCCAAGGGTGATTTGGGGAGACCCCAGGCCAAGTCAGAGGTCAGACCAGATTGCCAGCAGTGCTGGGAATGGAGCGGGGACAGCAGCCACAGGGGACAGAGACCACGTGGGTCTAGGTGCCATCAGGTTCCCAGGCGTCCTTCGCAGGGCGTGGTGGAAGAAGCGCTTGGCTGATGATCCACAAGCGTCTCCCAACCCCTGTGACTTGCTCCCACCGCACACAGGGACACTTCCCAGCTTGCCTGACTCAGCATGGCTGAGCTCCCCGTGGCCCCTCCTCCAGACTCAGAGCCTCCCCCCTATGTTTGCTGGGCTTCTGAACTGGCCACCTGAGGGCTGCTCTTGGGGGGAAGGGGAGGGGAACGTGAGTTTTCTTTCAATGCCATGGTGGCTTCTGGGTCACCGACTGGCCCTGGTGTGGGCAAGGGACGCTCACCCGGCAGTGCCCCTCCACACACACGTCCTGCCGGCCTGGCTCACATGGTGTCCCATCCAACACGGCCTCCCTGTGCGTGTGGTAGAAGCTCTCCCCCTGCGGGATGCAGTTCAGCTCACACTTGTTTGGGGCTGGGGGAGGGGAGAATCGGGAGCCCCCGTGAGGGCCAGGGACCAGGGCACACTAATGGTTAAAAAAATCCCTGCCTGCTCCCCGCCACCACCCCCTGGGTCCCAGGAGGTCCCACCCAGTCCCAGCAAGAAAGGGAATGTTCACAGAACTGCCTCATCTCCAGGGAAGAAAGGAAGGAACTCCCCAGAATAAGGTGTCAGGTTCGTGCTCTGCTTGTGGGAGCCCCAGGCTTGTTCCCCGACACCAAATGGTCCCCCCAAGCACTGCCAGGTATGCCCCCTAAGGAAAGAGATACAGGCTTAAAGAGGTCTCTGAGCTGTTTGCTCGGTTTATAAGGGTTATCAACCAGCTTCTCTCTGAGCCAAGCACCGATGGAGCATGCCCGGTGTTAATGATGTGGTAAAGAACCACTGCAGCGGCTGGGGAGATTGCCCAAGAGACTGGCGCAGGCTTGGCATGCCGGAGGCTCAGATCTGATCCCCAGCACCACATGGTCCTCAAGCACTGCCAGAGGTGGCCCCAAATCAAAAGGGGTCTGGCTCCGTGACAGAGCACATGTCTTTCAGGGGTAAGGCCCTGGGACCAGTACTGCCAAAATAAATCCATGAAATAATATATCTACAAGCAGAAAGACTAAACAAAGAGGTGAGGAGATGCGAATCACAGAACGCAAAACAGTCCTGTGAAATAATCTCAAACATGCAAGCCTGCAGAGAGGAAATGCTGTGACCAGAACAAGAATAAAAAGATAGCAGTGATCCTATGAAAGGGGACACTAGTCACTTATCTTTTATCTCTTGCGTTGACTTTTTATTTTTACTTATGTTGGTATAGTAAATGCAGTTTAAGCACAGGACTGTGCCCCCTGGTGACTGAGAAGTGTTCCTCCCTGCTCCCTCTCACCGGGGGTTCTAATGCTGCTATAATATGAGGGACAGTGTCATTCAGTGGCACTGTGGCACTCAGGCTCTGGAAGGAATGAATCCTAAAGGGTTGCCCCACCTCTCCACTCACAGGACATACGGCTGGAGCAATACAATGGGTATATTGGGTAAGGCACTTGCCTTGCACGTGGCTGACCTGGGTTCAATCCCTGGCATCCCTAGAGTACTGCCAGGAGTGATTCCTGAGTGCAGAGCCAGGAGTAAGACCTGAACATCACCAGGTGGGGCCCAACAACAACAACAACAACAGCGAAAGTTGTTGTACATATAGAGTGGAACACTACGCAGTCGTGGGAAAAGATGAAATCATGCAAAGTGAAATAAGTCAGAGGGGAAAGAAAAATACCAGATGATCTCAGATAATCATCCAGATATCAGATGCCTCAAATTATCAAGGGCATACAGAGAGATAAAATAAGGGAGTATCCTTGGCCTTGGATCACAAAGCTGAGATCATGGAGCCCTGGGGAGAGGGATGCAGGGGACTGAAGAGGAGGACTAGGAGGACTAGAGGGGTCTCGGGCACTTTGGTAGTGGGGGCTGTAACTTTGTACATCAACATCATAAATGTTAACGCTACTATAACTACATTACTAGTATAATAAAAAGCATAAATCATTAAAGAAATAAAATTAGGGGCTGGAGCAATAGCACAGCGGGTGGGGCTTTTGTCTTGCACGCGGCTGACCCGGGTTCAATTCCCAGCATCCCATATCATCCCCGGAGCACCACCAGGGGTAATTCCGGAGTGCAGAGCCAGGAGTAGCCCCTGTGCATCACCGGACGTGACCCCAAAAAGAAAATAAAAAATTAATATCTCTAACCAACCATGGAAGGAGAGGGACCCTCACTGATTTAGAAACTAAAGTCATCACATTTCCATCATCCTTCACAGTGAATGGAGAAAGTGTCACTAAAAAGGATTATCCCGAGCAGCTTCTGACGCATCTAGATGATTTAATTGCACACAAGCTAGTGTGGGCCTGTTTGCTATCTTAATTCTCTCATTAAACAGGGCCGGGCTGTGGCTCCAGAGGCAGAGGCCGTGGTTGCTCCCTTATATTGCAGGACCCGAGCAGCACTGCTGGTCCTGCCCCCACTGACCACCTGCTCCCAAACAGTACCTAGGGGTCACTCCCAGTGACTCTTTTTTTTTTACTGCCACTTCTGTTTATTTATTTATCTATTTATTTATTTATTTGCTTATCTTTTTCTACTTTATTAGATGACAGGAGGTTTTAGATTATAAAAATCAAACTATAATACAAGTGAAGAGCGGTTTTACAAGCACTCTTTCTTAGAACTAAACTGTCCCCCCAAAAAGCACATAAGCGTAATGAAGCTTTTAAGTAGTCACACATTTGCGTTTATAATCTCTCTCTCTCTCATGAATGACTAATTTTAATTTTTTTGTTTGTTTTCTTTACTGCTTTTTTTTTTTATTAGTGAGACACCATGAGGTACGGTTGTAGACTTACAAATTTTGTGCTTGGTTTTCAATTATACAATGATCAGATACCCATCCCTCCACCAGTGCCCATTTCCCACCACCAGGGATCCCAGTATCCCTCCCATCCCCCACCCCCCCATCCCACCCTGCCTCTGTGGCAGGGCATTCCCCTCTGTTCTCCCTCTCCTTTTGACTCCCAGTGACTCTTGATCAACAAGACTGACCTGCTCAATGCTCAGGCCCAACAGGGCTTGGGGACCACCAGGGTGACACCAGAGCCATAGTTGGTGGTGTTGGGAGGGCATATGGTGCCAGGGCATTATAGAACTCGGATGTTATGCATGCAAAGTCTGATGCCCCTGAGCCCTGTTCCCGTCCTCGTGGCACTCTTATAATCACTTCACTCATATGAATTTAATTTCATGTTATTTATAAATAAGAAGGTGGATTAGGGGACTGGAGAGATAGTACAGCGGGAAATGAATTTGCCCTGCACATGACCAACCCGGGTTCAATCCCCAACATCCCACATGGTCCCCCAAGCTCTGCCAGGAGTGATCTCTGAGCACAGAGCTAGAAGTAAGCCCTGAGCCAGCTGGATGTGGCCCCCAAGCAAACAAACAAACAAAGGCTTAGAACAGCCTCCTTGGATACACCTTCCCTCAGACCCCAACAGCAAAGCAATGGGGTCCTGCTCCCATCTGGGAAGCTGCCCCTTGCAAGCAGCACCCCTGCCCCGCCCCTCGCCTTCCCCTGTGCCCCATGAGAAGAGTGTCAATAGCAGACCAAACCCACAGAACCAGAGCACACATGGCACCAGGACGGCCCAGACGCAGCTTTGACAATGCCCAGCAGAAGGGCATTCGGCAGGAGCGGACGTGACCCTCCTAGGTCCAGCCAACTTCTACCAAGCACCCACAGCACAGTGCTAAGGATGAAGAGCAAGACCAGTGTACTAAAGAGACCCCAAACGATGGGGGTAGGGACAGAGCAGCACCCATGAGGAAGTAACCCCCTTACCCCCGTAATAGGGCAGCCACGTGTAGCGTCTTCCCCGGAACTCCTGGGCATCAAGTTCCGAGCACTGCACTGCCCGGAAGTCACGGGCACCCTCGGGACAGCTCTGCAGGGGAGAGGATGGGGAGTTACAAGCCTACCCCCTGCAGGGTGAGGACAAGGCTGGGGTGGGGTTCGTGACTCCCCATGCAGCCCTGGCTGTGGACACCCACACTAGTGGCATGGGGGCTGTCAGCAGGGCAGGGTATCCGGGCAGTTGTGGGAATCCCTCGCCAGGGACCTTACCTCTGTGCGGCATGTGCGGTGGATGCGGACAGGACCCACGCAGCTGGAGGCCCCATCTCGCCTGTGGGATAGAGCAGGGGGACCCCACACCTGTCAACATCACTGCCCTCTCCTGAGGGGCGTGCCTGGTGGGCAGCGCTGAGCCAGGGGGCAGCCAGATGGGAGGTGCACACACCCACAGAGAAACCCCTTCCGCAGGGCTCACTTGGGAGAAGCCGCTTAGAAGTTTAACACTTGTGGCATTTGTCTAACTCGGGGTCACTCTACCTCTGGATGTGATTGTAGAGGAGACCACGTGGGGGTGGACAAGGCCATGGAGAGGGTCTGGCCACTCCAGGAGAGGGAGCATTTCCAGTCGGGGTCTCTGCAGTGACTCTAAACCCACCACAGGACCCTGGTGGAACCCCCCCCCCCACACCTCCCCGGGGCCAGCAGGTGCCTGGTAAGTCTTTGGAAAGGGAACCTCAGCACTGGACGAAGGGTGGAGGCCACGGAGCCTCGGGGTGCAGAAGTGTCACTAATGAGTACCCCCAGCTCATCCTGCACCTGCCAACTTCTGCTCCCCCTGACAGGTGGCCCGAGTGTGGGGACACGGGATAACCTGATTGCAAATCTTCCATCCATGCTGCTCCCGGAAAGAACCAACTTACCCTGACCTCTGACCCCTGGCCTGGACCCACCGGCCCTACCTCTGGGAGTAGCAGGGGCGCTCGCGGAAGCTGACACCCACACCACATGTCCGGCTGCAGGCGCTCCAGGCACCCCAGACGCCCCAAGTGTCCCTCGGCTGCCTCCTCTTCGGGACCTGGAAGAAATGACAGGCGTCAGGACTGAGCATCCCTACCATCCTCCCCCCACACCCCGACACACACACACACACACACACACACACACACACCAGATGCACTCAGAGGTTCTCGGCCTCTCAGGTCAAGGAGCCTGGGACTGTTGGCACCAAAATGGGTCCTTTCAGAGCTTGTCAGCTGGTTTCTTGGGGAGCTGGGCTGGGAGGGAGGGGTGCAGAGTCAGGCCTGCTCACCCTGTCCCCCACTGTCTGTGCGTGCACGCAGAGAGACTGTCCCCGCAGAGCAAGCCCACACCTGGCTTGGGGGCTCTGGGATGGACAGAGGGAGATGTAGGGGCAGGGGACAGGCTAGGATATCCTCAGAGACAGCCCCTGACTCTCCCAGACCCTAGAGTAGAAAAGCCACACCTGGTCGATTAAATTTAGGAGCTTCCTCTGATTCTCAGTGGGGTGGTGAGAACAGCGAGATGATTCCTATCAGTCTGTGCCAGAGGCCCCCAGGAGTGCACCCCACTATGCTGACCCTCCCCTCTGCCCTTGTGAGAGAGCCCTGGACTCTGAGCAGGCATCTGGTTGACCTGCAAACCCTACTTTCTCCCTCCCTCTCTCCCTTCCTCCCTCCCTTCCTCCCTCCCTCCCTCCTCCCACTCTCTCTTTCTCTCCCTCATTTCCCAGGGCCAGGGCTGTGGCGTAAGTGAGGCCTTGCAGGGACCCTCCAACACAACATGACCCCTCAGCACTGGGTGTGGCTCCCACACAGTAAACAATCCAGTTCCCCACAGCTGCCTGGAATTGAGCCCCTCCCTGGCTCCTAGATGAGGTAAGTCAAAGGGCAGGCAGCAGCCTCAGGATCCCCAGGAGAGAGAGCTCTCCTCTTCCTCCTTTCTGCTGCTGGGAGGCGGGAATAAAGGCAGGAGCTGCAGCAGCCTGGACTCTTGAGGTCATTTGAACAAAGGTCAGACAGCAGAGCAGAGCTAGAAGGATCCTGGAGCCTGGGGGAGATATGGGTATGCCCATCCCGGGACTTCTGACGTTTGGGTGTTTACAGGAGAGGGGCCCAGTCTGAAAGCCTATGATTTGGGATTCTCTAATAGGAATATAATCCTAATGCATAATGCGTCCCACCCAGGAGACCCGTCACCCTGCAGCTGGAGTCGGACGTTCATAAACTGGGCTACAGCAATAGCTCCACAGGCTGGGATCCAGGTTTTGTCATTCTTGTTGTTTCAGGGGTCACCCCCAGTCATGCTGGAGGCTCAACCCTAATAAGGGTTGCTCCTGACATGCAAAGCCAGGATCAAACCCAGGTACCCCACATGCAAAGCTGCACGCAGCCCACTGAGTTATCTTTCGGGCCCATGTTTGATCCCTGGCACTGCGGGGTCCCCTGAGCACTGTCAGGAGTGACCCTCACAGCATAGAGCCAAAAGTAACCTCTGATCATCACCAGGTATGGCAAATAATGAAAGTTCACATGTACTACATATGAATTTTTTGTTTCATCCACAGACCCCAGTGCGCAGGCAAGAGTGAGGCAGAGGAGTCTCACCCAAGAGGGAATACCCAGAAAACCCAGGTATGAGGGACTTTGTGACTGAGAACTCTGGGTTCAATGGGACCAGGAACAGAGATCCTCTGCCTATATTCCCCCAACCCCCAGCACCCCTGGTCTCTGGCAACTCTAGTCATGCCCATAAACCACCTCTAGCTGGCGCCAGATAATCTCATCATCAGCCACTCCAGATAGCATGACATGATGCTCACCATAAACCATGCCGCCGGAACCCGAGTCAGACTGTTTCACTCGGGGCGCCCCAGAGGGGAGTGGGTGAGACCCAGCTCCGGCAGCCGAAAACCTCCAGAACTCAACTGCCACCATGCTCATAGCAGCTCTCCACATGCTTGGGCTGAGCCTCACCCAAAAGTCAACCTATTCCTGGACATTTCATAAGACACACTCTACCCATACTCCAAGAGTACCACACCACATATAATGGGGTTCAAAGAAGGAGGCAAACAATCTTAGCAGGAAATATATATATATATATTTTACATATATACATATAAAAGCACACAAGTCCAAACCTTTAACAACATGTTATTGGTCTCTTATAGAAGGGCTTACTGGCCCCAGGGTAAAATACAACCTTCACACTCTTTCCTCTAAGGATACTTTTTTGTAGCATTTTCAGCGGTTTATCATAACAAACAATACAAAATATATTATTGTGGTCCTGCTTTGGGGCAGGGATTGGGGTTGAGGATGGAAACATCTGAAATATGGTGGTGGGAAGATGTGATTAGTGTTTGAATATTAAATGTAATCAAATATTGTGACCTACTTTGTAAAATTGGGACTGGAGCAATAGCACAGCAGGTAGAGCATTTGCCTTGCACACGGCCAACCCAGCAGACCCGAGTTTAATTCCTCCACCCCCCTCGGAGAGCCCAGCAAGCTACCGAGAGTATCTTGCCCGCGCAGCAGAGCCTGGCAAGCTACCCATGACGTATTCAATATGCCAAACACAGTAACAACAAGTCTCACAATGGAGACGTTACTGGGCCCACTTGAGCAAATCGATGAACAATGGGAGGACAGTACTACAGGACAGTGCTACAGTGCTATTTTATAAAATTAAAAAAAGATTTTAGGGGCTGGACCGATAGCACAGCGGGTAGGGCATTTGCCTTGCATGCAGCCAACATGACCGGCACAGGTTCGATTCCCAGCACCCCATATGGTCCCCCGAGCACCGCCAGGAGCAATTCCTAAGTGCATGAGCCAGGAGTAACCCCTGAGCATCGCCGGGTGTGACCCAAAAACCAAAAAAAAAAAAAAAAGATTTTAAAGAAAAAATATTTTTAAAAAAAGAGTGAGGCAGAGGGAAGGAGGAACAGGAGAGTGTGACGTAACAGTAGGTCTGTGCTTATCTGGGCTGTGGGGAAGGAGATAGGAGGAGGCTCCCGAAAGACCTGACTCCACAGGTCTGCCGGAACACCTGTGTGCTGGAAGGACTTTAGTCTTTACTTGAGGGGAGCTGCCGAAGTGGTGCTTGAGGAACCCAGGGGCCATTCCTGATGATTCTCAGCTAACTGGCCGAAGGTTGGGTGTGAGGCCCAAGAATGTGATGCTGCTCAGGGCCCACAGTACCAGGGACCCTGGGCCACCCCAGAAGTGCTTGGAGCTCTTCTGAGCTAGACTCAGCGGTGCTTGGTGCTGGGAAAAGAATCAGGGTTGGCACATGCGAGGCATATGCCTTAATAACCACTAGGCAATCTCTGTGGCCCCTGAATGGACTTACCATCACCTCATGAGACAGGATCAAATCATTCCTATCTGAGGGCCCAGGACACAGTTTATGGGCTGAACCTTCACCCCTCATTCCCATCCACCATGCTTATGGGGGTCACGTGGCCACACTTCTGAAATCCCACCCTGCAGAATACCAGTCTTCTCCCAAGGAAACTGAAATTAAAACGGATTTGGATCAAGTTCCTATTTTTTGTTTGTTAGCTTGTTTTATTTTTTGGGGGGGGCGGGGAGCCACACTCAAAGTTTCTCAAGGGTCACTTCTGGCTTTGTGCTCAGGAATTACTCCTGGTGGGGCTTGGGGAACTATATATGGTGCCAGGGATTAAACCCAGGTCAACTGCATGCAAGGCAAGTACCCTACTCGCTGTACTTTGGCTCCAGCTTACAAGTTCCTATTTGAAGAGAAAAGATACTGAATGTCAAGGTAGAAGATGACTTTTGGGGTATGACCAGCACCCTGCTCCCAAATACAGAGCGAGAGAGAGAGAGAGAGAGAGAGAGAGAGAGAGAGAGAGAGAGAGAGAGAATACAGTGACCCCATCAGCGCCCCCAACCCACAGTTTCCCACCGTGTTCTGGAGTTGGGCAAGGTAGAGTGACCCCTGCCAACTGACCATCTTGCAGGAGGAGTCTGGACTAAAACCAGACCACGGAGGACCACCGGGGTGTCAAGTCTGACAACCCTCTCCTCACTTCATCTACCAGCCCCCTGACACAGAGCCTGTGTTCCCAGGGCCCAGCAGCCAGACCCCGCAGCCTTGCTCACTGCAGTCTCTCAGAGGACCACGGGGCACCTAGATCAGGGTTCCCGGCCTGATTCCACATGTGGCCCCTTCCAACCTTGCCCCCATCCCATGGTCCCGGTCCCACTGGCTGGTCTCCTAGTCTCCTTCCTTATGACCCCCCATTCACCCAGGTGATTGTCACTGTAAGATCCAGGGTGAGAAGTGCTGCTCTGGCCCAGGGGGGTCAGTCCCAGACAAAGGAGGCCTCTCAGGTATTCCTGGGGACAAAGGTCCTCCAAGGTCCTGACCTCACTCATGTTCCTCCAGTGTCTGGGCCTTTGACTTGTAGAAGGGGCGGGAGGGGGCAACGGCTCTGAGTCTCATGCTGGGTTCTTTCTTTCTTTCTTTCTTTCTTTCTTTCTTTCTTTCTTTCTTTCTTTCTTTTTAACTTTTCTCTTTGTTTTGGTGAAGCAAGGTATTAACATTTATTTAGAAAGCTATGAAGGGACAGAGAGGGAGAAGTACTGTTATCAAAAGAGAACACAGGATTCTCTAGAGTGGGAATAGGCAAGCAAAGAAACTTCGAAACAAGCCAGCAAGACCTTGTATCAGGGTTTGAAGAGCTGCAAGTGGGTGCAGTGTTGGGACTGGAATCAGGACTTTCAGTTACTTCCTGGGCGCTGCTAATGTGCCGGACAGAGAGGTTCCAAGTGAAGATGTGTCCACATCCACCACACCAACAAATAGTTCTTGGATGCCTCAAGGTGCCAGGCACTCTTTAGGGATGGCGGATCCTATACGTGCCATACAAATTGTGGGGGGGTGGGGGGTCGGATGTGCATAGAGCCATGGCAATAAGGTTGGGCTTAAGTTAGGAAGCGCCTGGGAGATGCCCCACGCTCTGCAGCACAGGGTGGGCTCTTCACGGCCTGGCACGCCTCGGGCGGCCGGGGATGCAAAAGCCCGGAGGCAGGCAGCAGGCGCCCCCAGGTGGTCGGACGGCCGGGAAGACCAGTTCCGAGCGCGAAGGAGTCGGCAGCATTCGAGGGACCCGGGCTCATGCTGGGTTCTTGTCACTGCTGTCCCAGCCCTGATGCCCTTGTCTCTGCTGCTTCTCCCCTGCTTTCCAGCAGGTGCTGCAGCCCTGCCCTCCCCAGGGCAGTAGCTGGGGTTTGCTCAGGAGTCTCCTGCCAAAGATGAAGTCATGAAATTTGCTTATAAATGGATGGTCATGGAGAGCCATCATGCTAAGTGAAATGAGTCAGAAAGAGAGGGACAGACTTAGAATGACTGCACTCATTTGTGGGGATATAAAATGACATAATACGAGACTAATATCCAAGGACAGTAGAAGCAAGGGCCAGGAAGATTGTGCCACAGTTTGGAAGTCTGCCTCACGAGCTGGGGGAGAAGGCAGCTGGGGTCACTAAGTCGATGATGGTTGGAGGGATTGTTCGGGATTGGAGATGTGTGCTGAAAGTAGATAAAGGACCAAACATGATAGCCTTTCAGTATTGCAAACTATACTGCCCAAAAGTAGAGAGAGAGTATGGGAGAAATTGTCTGCCATAGAGGCAGGGGGAGGGTTGGAAAGGGGAGGGGGATACTGGGGATTTTGGTGGTGGAGATTGTGCACTGGTGGAGGGATGGGTGTTCGATCACTGTATGACAGAAACTCAAATATGAAAGCTTTGTAACTGCATCTCATGGTGATCAATTAAAAAAAACAAGAGCTCTTGCCTGCTTGTAGAGAGGGGTGTTCTCTCCAGGGTCAGCTGGGCGACCGCTGCCTCCCAGGGGCAGCACAGGACCCAGCCCAACTCTACACAGAATACCATCCCTGAGGGGGCTACTGAGGGCAAGAAATGCCTTAAGGATACTCAGGACCCACAGGGAAGCCCTCTGGGCTGCATAGAATTGGCTCTGCCCATCCATTGGCTTCCGGAGTTGCTCTCAGACTTGTGCTCAGGCACAGCCAGAAGCCACCTGGGTTCTTTCCATTTCAGTGGACTAAAATCAAATCTCTAGGGGCTAGAGTGACAGTCCAGCGGGGAGGGCATTTGCCTGTTCCTGGCCAACCCGGGTTTAATCCCCAGCACTCCATATGGTCCCCTGAGCACTGCCAGAAGTAATTTCTGAGTGTAGAGTCAGGAGTAACCTCTGAGCACCCTGGGCGTGGCCCGAAAAGTAAAACAAAACAAACAAAAAGTCAAATCTTTACATAGCACCGACACCAGCCAGACATGGCACGACTGGACCCTTGGTCCCTTTGCAGGCCATTCAGCCCGGGCAGGTGTCTGCTGGTACAACGCCCTTGTCCTGTGCATTGGCTGGTGTCATGATTGCACCCCACTTCTTCCACTGTGGAACACCCCAGGAGGAGCATTTTCCAGAATTAGCAGCTACCTCTCAATTTCTTGCACTTTCAAAGGGTCTGGGGGTGGGGGAAGTTGCTATTCCAGCAAACAGTGGGGCAGCTTCTGAAGATACTTTGGCCAGATGACATCAAAGCATGACTTATTTTTTGGGGGGCAGGGGGCCACACTGGGTAATGCTCAGGGGTTTACTCCTGGCTCTGTGCCCTGAGATCACACTTGGCACTGACCATATGGGATGCTTAGGGATGGAACCCAGGTGGGCTGCTTGCAATATAAGTGCCCGACCTGTTGTACTATTGCTCTGATCCAGCGTCACTTCTTTTTAAAGGTGTTAGGGGTCCCGGGGTGTTGGGTTCAGC